AGCTTTCGATGCAAAGAAACCGTGTTTACAATCGTGGGAAGAAAGAGTTTACGAACCCACGTTTATGATACCTACGTTGTTGAAAAGAGACACGTTACCAAATTGGAACCACCTATTTCAGTCGTAGTCTTTTTGTTACAACTTATCTTTTTAATTGTCTTGTTTGGCACGAAATACGAACACGTGGTAAATAAATTAATTTGTAATCGGATAAAAGAGAAAGTCACCAAGAATTTTTCGATAAGACGTGTGAAAATGTTTCCAATAAATCGTATTTATCATTGTCATAATTATTTTTATAATCACGCTCTGAGACACATACGTGGTAAATAATTTTTTGATATGTTTCATTTTTGTTAATGTACAACAAAGTTTAAGTAACTATGGTGTCTCTAAGTTAATTTATACTGGGAAAAATTGTAATGGGAGATTCTAGACGCTAAAGTATGGCGAAAATCACGAATACCTATTTGTTGATGGAGGCTTCGTTAAAAAGTTGTTAACGTTTAAAGTTCCGCCCATATTGAATTTTTTTTCTCGAAAATGCGCAGGATTTCGGGGTTAGGTCTATTCACCAAAAATGATTATAATTGACACAGGCGACCAAAAATAATTTTTTTAGGAAGATTTGAAATTTTTAAATTTTGTCGAAAAATTTGTCTACCTATTCGAATTTTTTTCTCGAAAATGCGCAAGATTTCGGGGATATGTCTATTCACCAAAAATGATTGTAATTAACCTCCACTATCAAAAATAATTTTTTTAGAACGATTTGAAATTTTTTAATTTTGACGAAAAATTTCATATTTTCTCGAATTTTTTTCTAGAAAGTGGATAGGAATTCGGAGGTATGTCTATTCACCAAAAATGCTTATAATTGACCCCCGCAGTCAAAAATAATTTTTTCAGAATGATTTGAAATTTTTTAATTTAATTGTTAATAACTTTTTAACGAAGCCTCAAACGAAAAATTGATATTCTCGATTTTCGTCTTATTTTGGCCTCTAGAATCTCCCTTTAAAATTTTTCCCAGCGGTAGTAGAACACCCTGTATAATATTCCGAAAAATTATAATTGATTCGCGTTACTCGGGTGCAATAAATTTTGCAGCAATCTGCAACAAGTGAGAAAATAAAATATGCAACGATTCGATATCTTAATTAAACGATAAAAATATTTATTTTAAATGCGCGAGTGTAGTGGATATTTTACTCTGAATTTTAAAAATAAATTTCAATTTTTCGTCGTGGGAAAAAGACGCTTGTTATTTTTTTATAATTCAAAGAATAATTTCAAGATGAGCTACGTTATTCTAAAAAAAAAATTACAATTTTCAACAGAAGTCTCTGTTTGACAGCATTCCCCAAAAACTGGTTCCTGAATAGAGTCCCGTATGAAGTACCGGTTATCGAACTAGTTATAAATAATACTCCTATAGAGGAAGCATTTCTTTTTACTCGGCCGTTTTTCTTTTCGATAACGTTTCTTTTTCTGGTTCAGTTGGACAGAAAAATAAACGTTGCGTTGGGAACGTAATAGCGAAAATACTCTTTGGAATAGTTATTTCCGATTTTCTGTTTGAATAAAATTTATTTTTCTTGCTCTCCGCTTAACGCGACAAGTATTGTCCGAGTACTACGGATCGCCGCGTTGGGAATTCGATCGCGTGTAAATGCAGGTGATAACGGGTAATTAAATACTGGTTAAACACCGGTGACCACAGGAATTCAATATCAACGATCGTAACACGATCCACGTTTTCCGTTTGGCTGAGATCTGCGGGATCCTCCCACCCCTTCGTTTTGCTTTTGCCGACCCGTTATCGAGATAACAGAGGGGAAATATTGTCATCGATCAAAATTTATCCCGCGTTCCTTAATCTTTTTGCGTTTCTCGATGTTTCGAAGGTATACAAAATGGAGAATTCCAAGGTCATCGATGCTTTTTTAACTGGAATAATATATACATGGTGTTTAGTTACCCGTGGGAAAAATTTGAATGGGGGATTCTAGAGGCCAAAATAAGACGAAAAACATGAATACCAATTTGTTGATGGAGGCTTTGTTAAAAAGTTATTAATGTTTAAAGTTCCAACCTTACTGAATTTTTTTCTCGAAAATGCGCAAGATTTTGGGGGTATGTTTGTTGACTAAAAATTATTGTAATTGACTCCCACAACCGAGAATAATTTTTCCAAAACGATTTGAAATTTTTTTTTTCCGTCGAAAAATTTCGCACCTTCTCGAATTTTTTTCTCGAAAGTGGATAGGATTTCGGAGGTATGTCTATTCACCAAAAATGATTGTAATTGACCCCTGAAACTAAATATAATTTTTTTAGTATGATTTGAAATTTGTTAATTTCGTCGAAAAATTTCAGTATCTAGTCGAATTATTTTCTCGAAAGTGGGTAGGATTTCGGCGGTATGACTATTCACCAAAAATGATTGTAATTCACCCCTGCAACTAAATATAATTTTTTTAGTATGATTTAAAATTTTTTTTTTCATCTAAAAATTTAGGCAATTGGATTTTCGGTAAGGAATTTTTTTCTCGAAAGTGCGTAGGATTTCGGGGGTGTGTGTAATGACCAAAAATGATTGTAATTGACCCTTGCAACCAAAAATAATTTTTCCAGAGTGATTTGAAATTTTTCAATTTAATTGTTAATAACTTTTTAAGGAAGCCTCCATCAACAAATTGGTATTCTTGATTTTCGTCTTATTTTGGTCTCTAGAATCCCTCATTAAAATTTTTCCCATGGTTGACCGAACACCCTGTATATTTATTCTTTTATATTGTTATAAAGTATAATCGATTCGTTCGTTCCCGAAGTATTTAAAATTTTATTTACACGCTTCGAAATTACACGTCGCGTTCAAAATGGCTTCCGTTCGCGTTGATACAATAATAAAGTTCCGTAATAAATGACTTATATGAATTTTCTATTTCCTGCGGCGTAATTGCAGCGTACGCTGAGGTAATTCTTTGCCTTATATCCTCTGGCGATTATGGTAAACAACATTCTTTAATTTCCGTCGTGAATGGAAATCGAATCGAGCGAGATCCGGAGAACTGTATGGCCACTTCACAATTCCCACAGTATGGATTACGAGCCAAGTAATTGTTCGATAACATTAAGAAATATTGATATTAACTATAGAAAACACTGGCGTTGGCCGCATTTTTAATTAAAATGGTGTTGTAAATAAAGATAAGTTATCTCCCAAGGTTAATTCTATTAGAGTAATTGTTCAAAATGATGCATACACAGTCGAGCCAGAGACTTGCAATTAGTTGGGTACACGCGTACAACCGCCAGATTTTCTGTTCAGAAAAGAAATTTCACGTTTCGAAATTGTTAAACATGACTATTAAACACGATTATTTATAGTCGTTAAATATCGTTGTGAAAGCAATTGTTTCCTCTGATTTTTCAATTACACTGCTACGGTCTACGTTTAATCATTGTCATTGTGAATCATATCTTACTTAAAACATATGGTTATCGCTTGGAAAAGATGATAATCGAAAGAACGTCTGAACTATATACCGGATGAATTTTAGTTTTAATTATTAGAATTACACTAATATTTTTATTGTAATTTTATGAAATTTCTTCTGTATTTTTCATCGATTCGATATATCAAATTTATCTTTTATCATTGATTTTGGCTACAAGGTTTCTTGGTACCAGGAATCGTTTAAAAATATTTTAGTTATCACGTGAATGAAGTTTACGTTTTTACATGGTTATCGCTTGGAAAAGATGATAATCGAAAGAACGTCTGAACTATATACCGGATGAATTTTAGTTTTAATTATTAGAATTACACTAATATTTTTATTGTAATTTTATGAAATTTCTTCTGTATTTTTCATCGATTCGATATATCAAATTTATCTTTTATCATTGATTTTGGCTACAAGGTTTCTTGGTACCAGGAATCGTTTAAAAATATTTTAGTTATCACGTGAATGAAGTTTACGTTTTTACATATAAAATACACTACGTTTCCACGACGATTCACCGTAACTGTAATCACGTTTACTTTTCCGGAGTTTGTAAATACCATTTTCCTTATTATGAAAAGTTGTCGTGATTCCCGGTCAAGTAACACTAACGGAATGTGCGTCGCTTCACATATTCTCCACGTCATTGATAAACACACGCATATCCACTTTCGCATGATGCAAATTTTCTTATTTTATTAGACACGTTAAACCGTCGACCAAAAGAAACACCGATTTTTCACAACGACATTCAACCCACTGTGCAATTAAAAACAATAAAAAAATGGCTTCGAATATTTATATTAATTATTATAAAATAATAAAATAAAATATTTCGCAACGTGCAAATAAAAGTTTAATCCCTCGATCGAATAAACGTCACGAATAAATCGTTGTACGTTTCCGTCTCTGAATAACCAGAAATACGTAATTGATTCAAGACAGGAAGGATTAATACGCGAAGGAATATGTTACAAGGACACGTGTTCGAACAACAAAACTTGATAATAAAACACGTTCAGATACCGGAGACTACTCAATTTGAATAAACGGTCTTAAAAAACGACGAGATAAAAATATATCACCCCTAATGTCGTGGAGAGTGGTACGCTAAGCAGATCGAGGATATTTAAGCAACACGTGTGTTCCGAGGATGGAAAGCGGGAAGGAAGAGAGGAAGGAAAGCTGATCAACGGGGAATGGAATTTCAGGTGGCGGTCGCGAAGCGAGAAGAGAAACGATTGTCTGACATTTCGGTGGGCGACGATGGCCGAAAGCGAGCAACGGTCCCCGATCGTGATTCGTCGTCGCGCGTTGTCACTTTCTCTCGGTTTCGATGCATGAAAATCGCAGTTCCGTGACGCGAACGACGATCGCGGAAGGACGCGCGCACCGATGTGGTATTAACGGAGTTTCTCTGGCGGGAAACGGAGTGGGGAGGCGATCGAATCGGGATCGAATCCGCAAGGATAATCGAGGAGAACTCACAGCTTGATCTTCTCGTCGTCCATGATCCTCGGGGCGATGCGTACTGGACGGCGCCGATCGACGATGGTCACCGCGAACAGAATCGGTTCACCGCGATCGATCGAAAAATATGGGAAAAGAAGAGACGAGGGAACACACGTCGCGGCGGCGAAGAGAGCAGCGAAGACGAAGAAAAAAAAAGGGAGAGGGGGAGGGGGGAGGAGGCGGAGAACAGAAACCGTCGGTAAACCGAACAACGAAGCTGATCGGAAACAGTGATCGACTTGTATCGAGAGCCGTTAGATCCTCCGCTGACCGGCGACGAAATGACGCGGACGGACTGTGCGCGCACCCAGTTACATAAAACAACGAAACCCGCCTGCCACTTCGCGCTGTCTTTTTCAGTAGAAAACCCTCTATCCGGCCTAGTCCGTTTGTTTTACCAGATAACTTAACTCTCAATAAGTTTCTCCTACTTCGTCCCTCTTCCACTCACTCCCACGTACGATCTCTTTCTCTTTCTCTCTCTCTCTCTCGATCACACCCCCGTCCCCCCTGCCCTCTACCCTTCGTGTGCGTCTTTCCTCTCGCAACGTCCCGTTCACCCCTCCCCGCCAACCGCTGCGCTTCCTCTATCTGTTTCTCCCCTGTCGTTGTCTCTGTCTCTGTCGCGCCACGACTTATCGCCCGCCTTTCCTGTTTTTCTCGTTTCCTGACCGTTCCTCGCCGTTCGAATGCTCCCGTCCGTTCTGGATTTCCCGCGCTTCCGAGACGTGTCGCGAGTCAAAGGGGGACCGCGTCCGCCGTTCGATCGTCCGATCGACGCCATTCGTTCGATGCCAATCGATGGCCCCCTCCCCACACCCTCCCACTCGTTCTTTGCTCGCACTCCCCCACGGTCGCGTCGTCGCGTCCACGAGATACGTACTCTGTCTTCGCGAGCTTCGAATTCCTTCGTTTACCGAAACAATTCGTTCGATTGTCTATGCACCACTGGGACGAGAGCACCTCGAGGCGAACACCGACGAATGACCTTCGACGCATGATAAAAACGTACTTCGACCGGTAAAGAAGTTTGGGGATGATTCGAAGCGATCGTACGGCAAATTTTGTATTTAAGGGGCCATTCTACCTTGTAGGCATGAAAAATACGTGTTTCTTTGTGATTTTTTTTTTGCGGGTTATTAAAGAGCGATTAATTCCGGATTTTGTAGATACATTTATTATATATTTAGCTATATTTACGAATTTTTGCAACGCATAATATCTATTGATTACGCTGTTTTTGTTGATCATCAAACAACAGTTTTTACGAACGGCACCCGACTGCGTACGTGATATCTTGCGAACAAGTTATTCGAAATCCTAAAACCAACGATATTCTTAATATAGATGAGTGTGGTTATAGCATGAACTAGGATCTTTTCAAAAAAAACAAAAAATGGCAAAATGGCAGCTATTTTACGAAAAAAATACTGAATATTTTCATATATTTGGTTGCTTTTTTGTTAATAAAAGAAAAAGTATTGCATATATCGCAATTATCCTAGTTCATGCTACAGGGAGACCAGTTCTGAAGATACTGTATAAATTTGATGTTTATATCTTGAATAGTTTTTTAGTTATCACGCAACGCAGTGCCGAAAAATGTAGTTTCGAGAAAAACAGCTTTAAAGTTTCACGTCTAATTGTTATACCTGCGCGCGGCACATTTCAACAGGCTATAACTTCGTTAGTTTTCCGAATTTCAATTTAATATTTGGTAGACGTATTTTCGAGACTACATACTAAAGGAAAATGCAAAAAAAAAAAAATATCGATTTTTTTAATCCCACAAGGTAGAAAGGCCCCTTGAAAGAAACGAAACTTCTCAAACGTAATAAAAATAATGTTACTATGATTCAGTTTGGAAAACATCCCGCAGCGAAAAGGACGCAAGGGTTTTTCTCTGAGCGTTCCATTGCGACCACGAGGAGATCGTCGAGGGTGCAGATTTTGACACTTTAGGTTTACGTCAGTTTTCACTGCTCAACGATATCGTTGACACTTTCTCAAATTGTATCGTAACGAGCGGAAGCATTAATTCTCAATGTTGATGAAATTATTATAAAGAGCGCCGATCACCAGCAATCGCCACGGCATGAATGTGTTAAATGATTTTGTGAACATTGTCGATTTGACTGAGGCTGCAGACAACTGAAAGAAATATTTATGTACCTTTTCGACGATTATTTTGATTCTTCGTTACGACCGTTTCGTATTTGTCGAATTACGCTATAAATAGAACAAGGCGATACATCCAGACACAGGTAACGAATCGAGATAATGTTGTTCAAACAATTTAGCGCTCAAGAATAATAGTATTACCCGGAACGCGTTTTAGCTACACTTGATACTTATCGATAAATGTGTGTATACGCATACGCATGCACGAGGAACACGAAAACGACGAATCAACGAGTATGCAATATTTCACATTATTTCGATTCCATGCAACCGCCTCGGTTCTGACAAAATCGCGCGCATTTTAGTCACCCGATCGCGCCACGAGGATGGACGTTTCTTCTTCTGCGCAGCTATTCGAAAACTTATGGAAATTCGCGAGAGATGATTTTAACATTGCTTACCAGAACGTGGAGAGAGCGGGACGTGAGCATCCTATCGTGTAAACACGCGGTCGGTATCTCCCGTTTAACCGATTTATCGAGAATCGTGCAGAAACGTCAACGTTCCAGCATAATCTCGCGTGACTTGATCTTTCCACGATCATACGAGAAACATAAAACTTTTACGCGAATTAGCGTCACGAGCCTGGCGTATTCATGCCAAATTCTAGCTGTGCACTTCGATCGTACGACTCGTGTTTACGTTATAAACGGAGAACACGAGGGAACGGAGGGAACATCTTGATCCTGCACGACAAGAACACAACTGTTGTTACGTACGATATTTGATCGTCTCGATTAGCTCCGTCCATTCTTGCGTTAGGGTTGTCGATCCTTGTATGCGAGAAATACGAAATATATACGATTCTATCGTGATTTGTACGAATAATACTGGCGCGTGCGAGAAAAACGAACGTCGAACGCGTAGAGCTTGGTCCGCACGCACGGCGAATCACGGCGCGACGTCTGCGTTTTTCTATTGGCTGAAAGATGTCATTAGTAGTAAACTAAAGTCCCCGTTCTTTCGGGATCCGTCGTCAAGTTTATACATTTCCAACGTAAGACGATCGACGCGCGATCTTTCGATATTATTCACTAGAGAGGCGATTTTTAGCCCGTGGTCCACGGGGACCCCTGGCGGACCGTAACGAAATTTCTGAGGATCCACAAATTTGCGCACAGGTACTCTCAAGACGAAATTAGCATCGTACCCTAAAACATGCTATCGAAAAATAAAATGCAACGAGACTTCCATTGTACAATTGTCCGTATTTTATGCAGGTTTTTTTTTACACAAAATAACAGGGCACGATATTAATCGTAAATAAAACAAACGCAGTCGCTGGGGTGTAAAGATATCCATGATTTTAGAACGATGTTTATCGATGGAATGGTATTCATAAAAAATAGTTACAAACGTTACGAGGTTTATTTCTTACAACTATGAAGTAGACGATACAAAATCACAATCGCGTTCACATTACGAGCATTGTTTTGTGTCCACGATCAACTACAATACTGCAATTGATGGTTAATGTGTTCCGATGATCGAATCGTTTGCAATAGTACAGGTAAAGTCGTATTTACCGTCTATCCGAATAAAAATCGATCCTTAAGCGACGTTTTCATTTCTTCCCTCTTCGCACGATCGATGTACGGGGTAAACGCTATCGAAATTCATTTTTTCTCTCACCGAGCCCTATGTTCGATATCGGTTAACGTTTTTTTGTTATATTCGGTTTGTCTGAGACGTTCAACAATTCGTAGAAAAAAAATGTTCCAAATACGCAACAATCGTAGACGGATAACGAAACTTTTAAAATGCACATTTCTATGCAGCCGTGCCTCGCGAAACAAGAACGTTGCAACATTTAATCACAGACATTCGAAAACTGATTAATCATCAGAAATTTTTTTAAACATTTTCAGTTACCTGCCATTTCTGCAATACCTTTTTCACGCTATATACCACTCGTCTACAGTTCTTCGTGCTTCTCGACACTTTCTTCCGTGCTCTCCTCTTTAAACTCTAAAATGTACAAAAATAAAATCAAGTTACATACTGTCGTGATTGAGCAATTATCGTCATTTTAAACAACGCATTGCCGTCTAGTGCTATACCGTGCTCTTCCTTCTCCGTTTGCCTATTTTCCACTTTCTGTTGTAAAGCTTTTATCTCATCATCGTACCCTACCCATTCCGGTAATATCCGCACGGCTGCTTGCAGTTTAGCTTCCTTGGTCATTGGATTATTGCACTATCGTTCGAAAATAATCAATTTTAAAGTTTCAGAAATACATGTAAATACCTGAGGAGCTGAAATCCATATGGTAAAATAACTAAATAAACGTCACGCTGTCGGACTCTTATCAGTTAATTTAGGATATGGATTCAGCTCCCTGAAAACTCGCGATCATTAGCAGTGTTAGGTTCTTCGTTGTATACAGGGTGTTCGGCCAACCCTGGGAAAAATTTTAATGGGGGATTGTAGACTTCGTTAAAAAGTTATTAACAATTAAATTCAAAAATTTCAAATCGTTCTGGAAAAATTATTTTCGATTGCGGGGGTCAATTATAATCATTTTTGGTGAATAGACATACCCCCGAAATCCTATACACTTTCGAGAAAAAAATTCGAGAAGGTACTGAAATTTTTAGACGAAATTAAAAAATTTCGAATCATACTAAAAAAATTATATTTAGTTGTCGGAGTCAATTCTAATCATTTTTGGTGAATAGACATACCCCTGAAATCCTACCCACTTTCGAGAAAAAAATTCGAGAAGGTACTGAAATTTTTAGACGAAATTAAAAAATTTCAAATCATACTAAAAAAATTATATTTAGTTGCAGGGGTCAAACACAAGCATTTTTGGTGAATAGACATACCCCCGAAATCCTACCCACTTTCCAGAAAAAAATTCGAGAATGTACTGAAATTTTTAGACGAAATTAAAAAATTTCAAATCGTACTAAAAAAATTATATTTAGTTGCAGGGGTCAAACACAAGCATTTTTGGTGAATAGACATACCCCCGAAATCCTATCCACTTTCTAGAAAAAAATTCGAGAAGGTACTGAAATTTTAAGACGAAATTAAAAAATTTCGAATCATACTAAAAAAATTATATTTAGTTGCAGGGGTCAATTACAAGCATTTTTGGTGAATAGACATACCCCCGAAATCCTACCCACTTTCTAGAAAAAAATTCGAGATGTGAAATTTTTCGACGGAAAAAAAAAAATTTCAAATCGTTTCGGAAAAATTATTCTCGGTTGCGGGGGTCAATTACAATAATTTTTGATCAACAAACATACCCCCGAAATCTTGCGCATTTTCGAGAAAAAAATTCAGTAAGGTTGAAACTTTAAACGTTAATAACTTTTTAACAAAGCCTCCATCAACAAATTAGTATTCTTGATTTTCGTCTTATTTTGGCCACTAGAATCTCCCATTGTATATTAATTTTTTAATATCCCTAAAATCCCCCATTAAATTTTTTCCCATGGGTGATTGAACACTCTGTATATTTTTATTTACCAAATCTATGGTTTTAGCGTATTTTTTGGATCCATCGTCGCACCAAGTTTCACACCACAACCACTCCTGAGGCAATGTTTTTATTGCCACTTGGTGAATCATGTTATTAGGCAGATCCTGAAACGATAGATTGTATTTTTATTAGTTTCTGGATCGTTGTTCGACACGAGTGCTGTTACTAATCTCACGGACCTGATCGAGATTCGATAAACTGTTGGGATCTTGACTCAACGCTTGATACTGCCCCCTCAACCTGTCGCCAGCCGCGATGCGTCTGAATCGTTTCAAGTCTACCACGTATAAGGCGCTAATGTGATAAGCACGACCTTGTAAATGATTTCGCCAATAGCCTTGCTTCCAAAATCTAAATCCGTCCATTTCCCTCCTGCTGTCACAAAATGGCGTATACGCATAGGGTGCTGCGCCCAGGTCCATCGTCGCCAGTTCCTTCAAATCTGCTCTGACCACCTAAACTCAACGTTTTTAATTTCTAGTAATAACAACGGAATATTTTGTAATTCTATCCAAAAAAATTTCATCGTATTTATCGTACCTGATCGGCATCGACGAATATTATTTTCTTAACATTCAAAGGGAAAAGTACATCCAGAAATAGAATTTTATAACCCCAAATCGTTCTCTGTTTCTCGGTCTGTTGATGAAGCCAGCGTGGCCATTTGTATTGCACTAACTCGTACTCGAAACCATACTCCTTCGCCATGTGCGGCAAAAAGTCCTAACAAAAGGTTCATCTTTTAAAATATCTCCACCCCATAGGTACGCTCCGACATTGTCGCTTACTTTTAACGTTGGCGAAAGATAGTTTTTCAAGAACCAGAATTTCACGGGACTTTTCGTGTGCTTTATGACGCTAAGCATCATAATCTTCAGAAATCTTTCGTACAAATGGCCGGACGCCAGGGAAAAGATGTTCAGCTTCTCGTCCTGGTCGTCGCCATCGTCTGTTTTCGCGAACGTCCTACTTTTCCCCAACAAAATTAATCAGAATCTAACAAATACAAACGTACAAATCGTACGACAGAAATTTCGCGAAAGATTACGAGTACAACATTGTTTAGTCGTCGATAGTTTATCAAAATTTGGAAAAAAGAAAGGAGAGAATAAAAATTAAAGTTCGAGGATAATTGAATAACGTGCTAAATGCGTTTTTCAGAGTACATATTGGATTTCAAAGCCTGTGCCGGAGTCATTTCTGACTCGAACCGACATTTCGCTAAAACTGATATATTTTCTCCCGTTCGAAACTCGAGCTCCTTCGTTTTCCTTCGCCAGAATATTGCAAAGAAACGAGACCACGTGAAAACGCTCGTAATCATGTAAAGGAGACACCATGATTTTTCTTCTTTTTTTCTGTCTGTCTGCTCGCAAATCTATGGCTAAAATTAGTCCAGCGAATCGGGGCATCGGTCGAGCGTCGAAAGCAGAAAAGGACAACGAGTGAGAAACAAAGAGGTCCGTGAAAAAAACGGTGGAGTGTCTCATTGGTCAAAGCAGTAAGCACATAATAGGTATAGGTACGCACACAATTGTCTTCGTTGCAATAACGAGACTCGGTATTGTGTGCGTGTCTCGAGAAAGGTGGCGAGTCGATAGCAACTCCGTCACAGTTCGAAAAGCTTTTGTATATTTTTACTTTTTTGATATGTCCTTTGACGAGCAATATGGTTTCTTCTTTGGTGAAGATTACCATAATGACGAAGTGTCGTCGGATGGCGGGACGGTATCGAACAGTGATAATGAACCAGAGATCCAGGATTCTAGTGACATTTTTGAATCGAAAGAAAACGACGCAAGAAACGAAGTTTTATCTGGCCGCGATTGGCAGTATATTTCACAACTAGGATCACAGAGCACTAGCGAGAATATAGAAACGATAGACGATAGTTTCCGTTTATTGATAGATGAAGAGATTGTCCATACGATTGTTTTGCACACCAATAAAAAGGCAGAAGAGAATATGCAACCGGGCAAGAAATGGAAACCGGTAGATCCAATAGAAATCGAAGCTTTTCTCGGTCTCTTGATACTCATTGGACGCTTTAGGGAATCTCGAGAGAGAAAACAGGACTTGTGGAAAGTCGACGGACTTTCCCGCCGATTTTATGCCGCCATAATGTCGCGAGACAGGTTTACCAATATATTACGATATATTCGGTTCGACGATTCGAGTACACGCGAGCAGAGGAAAATGATAGATAAATTGGCTCCGTTGAGAGACGTAACCGAGATTTTTGTTCGTAATTGCAAAAATTCATATAATGCGACAAAACTCGTGTGCATTAATGAGCAATTGGTCACGTATCGCGGTCGATGTTCGTTCAAAGTATGCGTGCCAAGTAAACTAGAAAAATATGGCATCAAGGTATGGTACCTTTGCGACTCTAAAACATTTTACCGTTGCAATCTGAAAGTATACCTCGGTAAAGAAGGAAACGCGTCAGATAAGAGTCAAGAACAACGTGTTGTCAGAAACATGACTAGCGTGTTAAAGAATTCAGAAACAGAAAAACCGGAGATCGTCAAGTATTATAATGGTAGAAAAAGTGGGGTCGACGTGTTGGATAAGATGTTACGGGAATACTCCTGCAGGCGGCGTACCCGTCGATGGCCGCTATCGTTATTCATGCATTACTTGGATATTGCCACATACAATGCATTTATCCTTTGGCGAACAAAGTATCCTGCGTGGCAAGATAGAGAATCCTTCCTAACTAGGAGAAAGATGTTTTTGCAGGAATTGGCGAAGAAACTGTGCGAAAAGAATATAGACAGAAGAGCTGCTGCGTTCGAAAACATGGACGAAGGACTGCACGCGGATGTAATAAAAGCGATAGAAGCGACTGGCAGAAAAATTGTTAAAAGACCAAAATTGGGAACTCAAAAACGTGCTAGGTGCTGTTACTGCGTAGGCAGTAATAACAGATATTCAAAGATATGCGTTTCTTGCAGAAGACACGTATGCAATAATCATTCGTTGCAAAATAGGATCGTTGTATGTAACACGTGCAGTTATATAAAGAGCGAATAAATTTGATGTTACGTTATTATTCTGTCCTGCCTCTGCAAAATGAAAACATGTCACAGTTTGCAAGGAAGAGTAAAACGAATATTGCGTACCTTGAAATGGAATTCCACAAGCTCGAACTTTTCTCGTCTTCGGACAGGAGGTCCATTTCAGCCTTGTCCGGCTTCTTGGACACTTTGACCTGCAACACGTGGCTCTTCAGCGAGCTTATGACGACTTTAACGTCGTTGCCATTTTGTATGACATCTTGTCCGCCGACGGTAGTGAAATCGTATATTTCCGCCGATCGTCCCTGTCGAAGGCGTAACACCCACTCGCCGGGGTTTGCTTTCAGTTGGAAATATCCCAAGTTCGCCATCACTATGGTGTCCACCATTAACGGCTGCCTCTCCGTTCCCAAAGTGAATTGCAGCCCTCGCGGTGGATTTCCGATAACCGCTTCGAAACAATGCCCTTCGAGCAGCAAATGCTCCAATTCGAATTCGCTGGGAAAAAATAGACGCATGGTATTATGTAATACAGATTATCTACGCTACACCAGGTGACGAACTACGTACCTGTGCACTCCCATCGCGACATTGTCCAATTTGATGTTATCTAAATCGTAAACGCTTCTGACTACCTCTACCAACCAATTCTCTGGCGCGTGGATGTATTGCGTCAAAAGAGACGATGTTGGTAACTTTGTAAACTTGGCCATAGCACCGTTGATGTGACCATCGGCGGAGAATTGTAGCTGTGGCTCGAACACGAACCGATAGAAACTGAAATGAGTGAAACATTTAAATAAATATGAAGTAGAATGGTAAAAGTACCATTATTAATACTAGATTTACATATTTAAAATTGCAGAACGCGTAAATATTATTGTTTAACAACTTATGTTGAATTTGTTTGATGCAATTGCATGAATACATGTTCTAATTGAAAGAAAAATCGTATTTTAAGGTAATCGTCAACATGAAAGGTATCAATAAATATACGTTTATTACCTTTTCAACGGCATGTCGCTGTTCTTCTCCACGCAGTTCAGAAACACTTTAATGTTGCAGTTGAAGGACTGCTGCAACGTTCTCAAAATCGGGCCCAATTTCTGAGCACCGCGAGACACAGGATCTACGATAGCTATCAAATTGAACACCACTTCGTCGGGATTCGCTGCTGGGATCTTCACGGCGCTAAACATTGGAGCAATTGCAAAACGAATCGTTAACGTCAAGTTACATGATTTCGTGCTGCTTATATGTAGAGCTCACCTGTAGTCATCGCCGTGAAAAGGAACATCGAATCGACTACGTGTCTGAGGATGCGACACTAACAACGACGTGATTTTCATAATCATGTCGTCCGTGATTTCGTTCTTCTCTGTAATGAAAAGTAATCACAATAAGAATTAGATCGTTGACACGAAGTACTGTTCACATAGATCAGTCTCCATACCGTATTCATCATCCTCTAGTAGCTGTCCTTTTATTAATTTCTTAAACAATTTGTCCCCGTAACTGTTGTGACTGAACCTTTCCAACAACGAAAAATCTTCGCTGGTGAATTCTTCGTCTACGTCCAGGGGACCGATTAACCTTCCATTGCATACGATTGCTCTGGTTCCTTTCTCTAAATTCAATACCGTTTTAACGTACAACCGATGGATAGACAATTCGTCGACTTGCTTCTTCAAGCTTTCCCTCACGGCTTCTTCCTAGATTTTACATGATTTATTCGTCGGAACGTTTATTATCATTTTGATATTAGAAAGTACAAATTGCTCACCTCTATTTCAAACTTGCCGTCAGCGATAACGCCAGCAACATCTTCTTGGATTACCTTACGAACGAAACGCAAGACCTTGTCTATGGGCAAACCGTCCAACGCGGCTAATACTATCTGATTTACGTCGGTCGTGGAATCGACATTTGGCTCGGATGGCGAGTTAATGATCACGGAAAGCCTAACGTCAGCGTTCGATTCCTAAATTACGAATCACTCGTGAAACACGTTTATCTAAATTTTAATAAAATATTCACTCTCTTGTTCGCTTACTATGTACTCGAGGGCCTCGCGTAGCAGTTGCCTGCCTGTTGGGTCGTTCAAATTCGCCACCACCCAAAAGGTGTACAAATGGTGCACGTTCGTACGACGCAGTACGTACACATAACGCATTCTACTCATCAACCACGTTGTCAGATCTTGCGGGCTCCATTTGGTGTAATTCTCGTCCTTGGGTAGAGTACCGATTAAATTCAACCACGTGTACTTCTCTGCTTTTAATATTCGCACGTTTAAACTACGATATAAAATCGAAAATGTATAAATTATTACGGACTCAGGGATGGGGGACCGTTTGACGTTGAAAAGTCCATTTAAAATAAACGTACTTCCTGTAATTTGTAGACTAAGAAGATGCATTGTTTACCAATTAACTCAAAAGACATTGTGTGATTTTTAGGTCGAAGGTTCATCATCCCTGTTATAGGTATTACATACAGGGTGTTGGAAAAATTTTAATAGGGGATTCTAGAAGCCAAAATAAGACGAAAATCAAGAATATCAATTTGTTGATGGAAGCTTTGTTAAAAAGTTATTAACGTTTAAGGTTTCATAGGTTCTGAATTTTTTTCTCGAAAATGCGCAAGATTTCGGGATTATGTCTATTCACCAAAAATTATTGTAATTGACCCCCGCAACCAAAAATAATTTTTTTAGGACGATTTGAAATTTTTTAATTTTGACGAAGAATTTCATATCTTCTCGAATTTTTTTCTAGAAAGTGGGTAGGAATTCAGGGGTATGTCTATTTACCAAAAATTATTATAATTGGCCCCTGCAACCGAAAATAATTTTTCCAAAGCGATTTGAAATTTTTTTTTTCCGTCGAAAAATTTCATAGTTTCTCGAATTTTTTTCTAGAAACCGGGTAGGAATTCAAAGGTATTACTATTCACCAAAAATTATTGTAATTGACCCCCGTAACTGAAAATAATTTTTTTAGAACGATTTGAAAGTTTTTAATTTTGTCGAAGAATTTCATATCTTTTCGAATTTTTTGCTCGAGAATGGATAGGATTTCGAGGATGTGTCTACTCACCAAAAATTATTGTAATTGACCCCCGCAACTAAATATAATTTTTTTAGTTTGATTTGAAACTTTTTTTTGCCGTCGAAAAATTTCACTTTCTCGAATTTTTTTCTAGAAAGTGGGTAGGATTTCGGGGGTATGTCTATTCACCAAAAATACTTATAATTGACTCCCGCAGTCAAAAATAATTTTTTCAGAATGATTTGAAATTTTTGAATTTAATTGTTAATAACTTTTTAACGAAGCCTTCATCAAGAAATTGGTATTCTTGATTTTCGTCTTATTTTGGCCCCTAGAATCCCCCATTATAATTTTTCCCAGGGGTGGTCGAACACCCTGTATATTATAATAAAAAAAAAACTCGTACCGTGGCATCACGTTCGGCTGATTCATAATATAATCGACCACATCGTCTCCGTCGGACATCTCGCCGCGGTACACTGCTTTCTGTAACGCGGGTGTTTGCGTCATAATGGTGGATACAACTGCTTCTTCGAACGCGGCGGCATTCAATTGATCGGCTGACAAAGGTACACCGTTCATTAAAGCTTGGGGAAATTTCTTGAAACCAGTTCGTTTCACGAAATCGCTAGCTAGATGACGTCCTACATCGTACTCGGACTCTTCGCCGAGAATATAATTGATATTAGCAGATGAATCTTGGACCTTTAAAGCTTTTTTCACATCGTCGACAGTGGCGCCATCCGGCCCAATGTAATTTCCTAACTAAAAAGAAGAGATAGTAACGACACGTTTTTCTACTATAATACACTGATTTATCATTACGAGTATGAAGTAGTAATGAATCGAATACCACAGGGCCTTACGTCTATTAAAAACTGTAAGGCGTGTTCCGATCCTTTGGTCTCCGCAAAATAATGGTACACATTGTTCACCGCGATACTGGCATCCGTCAGACCAGTTATAGAAGTGTCGTAATTTGTTACGAAAACGAAACCGACGCGTAGCGGTGCAGCATGGAAATACAATGATTGCGCCAAAGTGATCAACGGTGTAGATTCTTTGCTCAGGGGGTCGATGATTAACACCTGTCGAAAGAAGGAATATCAAAAAACGAATACACGCTCTACGATTGTTTACGAGCATTGACGGATGTATACGAACCAAATTGTATAAATTTCTTCGAATATTTCTAAGCAGTCCGGGAAGAAAAGTTGGCCTTAATAATTCTGTTAACGACGGCGACCACCGTGAGTAAGTTACATCCTGTTCGATATCATTCAGCCAAATTATAGCCGAGTCTCTTATATCTATCGCGAACTCTTGCTTATCCATATTGGTGGACAAATCCAACGCCAACAATTTGCTCATCTTTGTATTACTAAATCCTACGAACGAAACGTTATAATTCTCTTCCGTTTCTATCGCGTTATTCTCAATATAGCGTGCGTACCGATTTTACGAAGAGACTCCATTATTTTGAGCTCGCTTCTCAGCGATTCGAGAAGACCGAGTACATCCACAGCCTCCAAATCGAAGAATAGCCCATTAACGAAGAGCGCGGTATCCGTGGGTTGTATATTTAAACTCGCGGCAAATATCATTTGATTAAGTTTCATTTCCTTCTTCATATCGCCGTTTACTTTCGTTCTGATCAAAGATTTCGCCTAAACAATCCAGAAACAAACGTTTACAAAAATCAGAGCCGACCACGTTTAAGATAAAATAAACGAAGCCATACAAATACAAAAGCATATGTGTATTAATACTGTATGCAAAGGTGTATTTACTTGCATCGGGAAGTTTTGCGAGATATCGATCAAAACGTTTATAGCGTCGTTCGTGGGTGAGTTCATAATTCTCTCAGCTGCCTGATGGCTTAATTCTTGAAACTGCCATACTTTCAACGCTCCGATTTCATGGCTACTTTCGAGCAAATGAGTCTGCAGCTTATCCAGCTCTGCATGCTTGTCAGGATACAAATTTCTGAAAAAGTGTTTGCTATAACATTTTGCTCGAAACATGTTAATATTAACGTGTAACGTAACTAGCGTAACCACCTTACTTTAAAGTCACAAAATTGATTCCATCTATTTCTTCCATACTGTCGCTGTAAGTTTCAGAATCTTTGTCAGCGTTATCTTTGATGTCCGAATCGTCTGTTGCTTTGTATTCCGTGGACTTCATTTGTAATTCTACGCCATATCCTGACAAACGTACATGTTTCTCCGATCTGTCCTACAAATTATAGACAAAGGAAACATTTGAATATTGGGAACATGTTCCTTGATTATGAATTATGTATTATTAAATACCTAAGATACCTTTAAATAATGTCGCAAAATATAGTTGATCCCCTGGGTTTCTGAAAGTTCTTTCAATTTATTATGGAAATCTGAGAACATTGGCGTTCCGATTTGACCATACAATATAATAACATTCTCGGACTGTTGAGACACACGATAACGATGATCTACGCTATAAGTATCAGGATTTAACCAAGTTTCCTGTAAAATAAACAAATACTTAAACGTATGGGAATTACATGCGTAACGTAATAAAGTTTATATACTACTCACTTGGTCGATTAAATTATCCAATTCTTCTAAAGAACAAGTAAATTTTCCACCGACATCTACTATGTTATAACAATCAAGGCTGGAAATGTTTTTATTCTCTGCCATTTGAGTAAACATCTCCACTCGTGCTGAATAAATACGTAATGACAAACCTAATTTGAGCAACGCTACTTCGGAAGGAGATAAATACTCCTCGGCGAACGTAATAACGGCATTGTAATTATCTCTTTCTGTAAAAGGAAAGAAATGTGTAAAATAACGGCAACTAAATAACAATACTGCGTTACGTCGGACTTGCCGTTTCCAAAATTGTGATCTGCAAAGGTGTCTATAAATTTCCAAAAATAATTTGAATTCTCATCGCTTAAATACTCGGCTGCTTCGAGCGCTAAAGGCGTCTCTTTCCATTTTGCATCTATCAGGGTCGTCACGTACTTATTAACCCTTTTATCCGCTTCAAGATTTGTTATACACAGGAGTAGTATAGGAGAAAGTGCAGTTAACCACATCTGTAAACAACATAACGATTATTAATAACACTATCGTAAATATAAAAACATAATTAACTTAATGTTTCCGTAAGAGTACCGTCGCGTTTTAGTAGCTCCAAATTGTCGAAAATATTAACAGATTTTATCGACGATCGAGAGTTATCCGAACGCGTTATCTAATTAAACGAAGAATCCTTTAAATCCGTGTGCCGTAGATAGCAATTTACTTAACAATAATGCCGATCGTTTCATTATTTTCCTCAAAACAATTCGAAATTACACGAACCCGCTTTTTCATAACAACATCATACTGTCGAGCGAAACGAGAGATGTTACCATCGATAAAAATTAATAGAAACGGTGTTAGCAGTGCATAGTTATGAATATCAATAACACCGCGGTACGTAAAACGGACTTATTCGAAACAAGTTACATACCTCTAATTTTGCGATAGAAATTATATCAAAGAAGAAAAATACGACGATAGCCAATCCATGCAGTACACGTGCCGGCAAATACCACACTGGTGGAATTCTTCACGAACTCTAAGCTAAGGAGTTACGCGTGTATGCATAATACGTATACATTCTAATCACCATTCGTGCAATCATACATTTACAAATTTCGTATGACACGTATATCCCTCCGTACGTGACCAACCAAATTACACGAAACTACGTGCTACATATTCGACCGTCGGATCGCTACGAATGGCTATGAATTGCAGACACAATTTTCATAATTTCAACGATACGTTTCAAGGAACGTATCGCCCACAAATTTTCGTCCAGAATTACCAACGCGTTTAGGAATGAATTTCATAAAATTTCCTAGCAATTTTATCAGACTTAAAAAAAGAAAGAATATGTTTTCTATTAAACGATTTTTACTGTTGCCGTTTGTTGACAAACGAGAAATAAATAAATGCTAAGGTTTTGTTGTCTACAATGGAACATGTTCGTACGCTTGTTCTAAAAGTAACGTGACAAAGAGCGCACGTATCGTACAAAGTAGGCGTTCGAAACTTGTGTGCACCCACGTATTAAGCAACGAGATAAAAGATATTCGTTAGATTTAATACCGATTGTATACTGTGAGAAAGAAACTTTTATATCATGACTATAATAGACTATATGCACACGTTATCCGACAATCCTTATTTCGGAGCTGGATTTGGTCTGTTTGGGTTAGGAGCGGGAGCAGCTATATTGCGTAAAGGGATGCAAGCGGGAATGATATTCTTCAGGTACAACTCGTATAAAAATTCTACTGCATTCGACTCTCCATGGCATCTCTAAAATGTTTAAAACGTTTTGCAAATTCAGGCGACATTATATGATCACTTTGGAAGTTCCTTGTCGGGACAAAAGTTACCAATGGCTTTTACAATGGATCACGCATAAGGGCGCGAAAAAAACGCAGCATCTGTCTGTTGAGACAAGTTTCGAGGAAAGAGAAACAGGTCACATAAAAACTAGATATGATTTCATACCAAGTATCGGAACTCATTTCTTTAGGTTAGAAATAACTGTACTTATTGCTCAGATACTTCAGCTTACGACGACAAGTATAAGACAGTTCTGCAATTATCCAAAGATTGTAATAATCGTTCGAGGGAAATGATCAGACAGTACACGTAAACGATGTAAATTTCTTAATTTGTTTAATCGGTTCAACAGATACAAAGGGAATTGGATAAGAGTGGAACGAACCAGGGAACAGCAAACCTTGGATATACAAATGGGTATACCGTTCGAAACTGTACAACTTACGGCATTTGGGAGAGACAGAAATATATATTTCAATATATTGGAAGAAGGTAAAACTTGTACTTGTGTGCAAGATGCACGATAGATTAGTAAGAGTAACATTTTCATTTGTAGCTAGGCAAATGGCCCTGAAAGAGCACGAAGGCAAAACGATAATGTACGTTGCAATGGGAAGCGAGTGGAGGCCGTTTGGACATCCTAAAAAACGAAGACCGCTAAAATCAGTCGTTCTAGACACTGGTATCGCGGAGAAAATAATAAGCGATTGTCGTGAATTTATAGAAAATTCATTGTGGTATAGTGATCGTGGTATGTAAACGGTCGTCTAAAAGGAATGATTAGAACAAAGGGAGATGAATATGTTGATTAATTTACGTAGGGATTCCGTATCGTCGCGGATATTTATTACATGGTCCCCCGGGTTGCGGTAAATCGTCATTCATTACCGCATTGGCTGGTGAATTGGAACGTGGTATATGCGTTTTAAATCTATCGGAACGTGGTTTAACGGATGATAGATTGAATCATTTATTAGCTGTAGCTCCTCAACAAACTATTATACTCTTGGAAGATATCGATGCAGCATTTGTCAGTAGATCGGAGAGCAAAGAAGGTATACTCGCTAGTTTCGAGCGAGTACACGGATTAATTGCATTGCCAATTTCGATATATTTTATTACAGTTAAATCTGCATACGACGGTTTGAACAGAGTAACGTTTAGCGGTTTATTGAACTGTCTGGATGGTGTTGCTTCCACCGAAGCAAGAATTCTGTTTATGACGACTAATTACTTGGAAAGATTGGATCCTGCATTAGTTAGGCCAGGTAGAGTAGATGTAAAAGAATATATAGGTATGTATATGAAATTAAGCGTTAAATTTGAACCCGATTCATATTGAAAGTGAATGATATTCGATTGATTGTATATTTCATTTCAGGCTGGTGTAGCATGCAACAAGTGGAACAAATGTTTTTAAGATTCTATAGAAGCACCGACATCAAAGCGGAAGAATGCGCTAGACAATTCGCGGAGAACGTTATGTCTCAAAAAAAGAATGTTAGCCCGGCGCAAATTCAAGGATTCTTCATGTTCCATAAGAATAGTCCCGACGACGTAATGAAAAATGTTTCACATATATGGGAGCTTACCTGATAGGATTAGATACAGAGATTAGCATTGCAACGAAACTGTGTATAAAGGCAGAGAAGAATAAAATGACAAAGGTATTGTAGACCATTTAGGTTCTCATATTTATATTAATTACGTAAATCGGCACATTTGCCGATTCGGCTTCCGACTTCTGAAATTTCTACAAATACAAACTTAATAGAAACGTGATAAAAATTTCTCACTTTTACACGATTTATTCCGATTATTGCGTTACTGTCGACATTACCAACATTGTGAATGACGATCCAAAGACAAAATACATTATAGCAAAATAAACGTTGTATACATTTTCTTCTACTCTCATCAATATATTTTTTTTCCCGACTACATATATTTATATGTATATCTATCTATGTACACATGATTATTAACGTGCTTCTTCACGTTGACTCAAAATTGGTTCAACCAATTTCACTTAAATCTCGAATTTTTGAAATTAATAATATTTGATCAAATGAAAAGCTAGCGTTTCATTCTTTGAAATCATATTTCACCTGCACATCTTAATGTGGTTTGCTTTGAATTTACGAAAAATATTTTGTACAAAAATCAGCATATCTCTTTAAGCGCACGGCCATAAATATCGTTACACGCATAATTATGTACGTTAATTCTGCCATTGCACGTTGAAAACTATACGTTCAAATAATATTATCATTTTTTGATTTCATGTAAAAAAAATACGTTGCAACTCCGATACAGCTTCAAAGTACGATAAAATAAAAAAAAATGTAACATTTTTTTTTCGTAACGAGTCGCGTGCTCTATCGAGTATTTTTAATATGCAACAAATTGCTTCGTAAGAGAAACTTTACGACTAGAGAATTATATTTAGCGAGACCATGCATGCAATTACGATTACACGTCGAAATCAATCGCAAATTCGAATTCATCGCGCCAAAATTTTGCCACTGGGCTGATAATACTTGTTCGACGGTACACATTTTCAGACTTTTGTTCCTTTTTTCCCCGGTATCTTTAAGAATGTTAAAATACTTTCGTAAATGCGATTTTACCGTTCTAACTAGTACGTACAAAACGCTAACATAAAGCTGGTAGCTTCGACGGCTGAAAGAAATCTCACACGGCACGGTAAAAGATGTAAAAATTTGATAGTTTACGATTTAATGGTGTCTAGAAGTCCTTGATGCTTAGAAACTCCATATATATGGTTCATAGTTCAATGGGTCTGGTTGTTCCATGTTGTGTCCAGTGTGACTATTGTTTCCAACCATACACGACGGATAGGCAACTCCGGTATTTTCCTGTCCCGACACAGGTGGCGCGATAGTCGGCGCTAATCGACAATCGGGTCTTTGTTGCATCATAGGACCCATTGGCTGCATCGATTGCGGCGCTGGCGGAGGTGGTTGAGGTTGAACGAGCGTAGGAAGAGCTGCGGTAATATTGTGAACAGGTTGCATAATATTAGGAGCTGAAACATAATTTGCCACTGTGAAGTGGTTTACAAAATAATCAATTAGTTCCTTCCGCGTGGCGTGTGAAACACAATATCGGAATGAATTAAAATATCGAGGCTCACTCGTTGCAGGATTATGAAACGGCAAAGCAGTGGACTGTTCCGGTATCATGTTCGTCGGCGGTGGTACGATTTTCACTGCAGCAGACTCTGTCCTCCTCCTTTTAGAAGACAATCGTTTCGGCGTATTCCTCGACGCTTGATCCCGTTTTTTATTACCGTTCGATTTCTTCTTCTTTTCACCGAGCATCTTTGGTTTGTTTGGTCGATTTCCACTGGGCTGCCAAAGATGCACCGTATGTACAGCGTTTCCCTCCCTAAACCAATCGAATGTTTGGTTACTCCTGGAACGAACGAAGATATTTTCTTTTTGTACACTGACCCTTGCTTTTTCCCAAGCTTCCAACTGTGGATACCAGCTTTGTGAAGCCGTTCTCTGATCGTGTCCACGCTACACTTTAATCCCAGAGCAGGCGCGACGTGTTTCGCCGCAGTTAAGGGCTGCTGTGTAGCCATCGCGATTATAGCTTCATCTTGTTCTTTAGTCGTGATACGACGACGACCCTTTCTTTCTTTCGTTTGCACGTTCCCTTCTTTATGCCAACGTTCTAACCACCTTTTAACGGTACGTTCCTATTTAATAACAAGTATTGGGTATAAGGCTATCCTCAAGATAGTCTTAATTATGCAAGTCCATCAAGACGAACGTGTTTCCACTTACCGATCTGTCGATTGCGAGCGCGATTGATAGCGTGGATAAACCTGCCTCGGACATACCGATCATACGATTTCGAATTTCGACGCTCGTTTCCAACGTTCCTTTCGCCTTCCCGCCTTTCTTTTTCCTTTTCTGCGACATACTCCTTTCGTTACTGTCTTTCGACGTACAGTGGAGCCTGTCGGGTTGCAGGGCGACCGGGGCCTGATTCTTGCATCCTAAAAGACAGGGGAACGAAACTTGAAATATAAAAAAAAGAAGATATTGCATCTCCTCTATCTATTCAGATGTCTACGTTAGTAACTTATTAGCAACCTGAGTCATCGTCGACCGCGGATCGTAGATAACGCGTCGGCTCATTTTGTACTGGCAGTTCCAGGAACTGATGGTGATGATCCTCCTGCAACCGTACAGGCAAAAATCGCTCCATCTTGACAGGCTTTGCAGCGTTCTCGTTTTGTTTGAGTTCACCGCCAGAAGACTGATTGCTGTCTTGAGAACTACAGGAATTGAAATTATCAGAGTTCATGTTCGTATTGGTTTGCGGGCTAGCCAATTGCAAATGTAAGTGTTCCTGGTGCTGCTGGTGTTGGATTTGATGCTCTACTTTTAGTTGCCGTTGCTGATCGAGATTGTGCGTCTGATCTGTAATCGTTTGCCGTACTTGTTGCGCGTGATGTTGCTGTTGCTCTTGCCGAGTACGTAATTCTTGAAGCTGCTGTGACAAAGGTTGTTCGTGAGAAATTGGATCAGGTTGGCCCTGAAATTCCGAAAAGCTAGAGTCGGGCATCGAGACAACGTATGTCTGTAAAAGCTTACTTTAAAGACAGCGCGCAAACCTGTGGATAATGATGACTTCCTTGCACCAAATCCAACGGCCAATTTTGAGAGATATTTAAACCAGGATGCTGATAAACAGGTTGCGCCTGTTGAACTAAACTTAACGCATTGCCAAACTCCGTTTGATTCGAAGGTAGCGGTTGAGGTGGCGCTTGCATGTCAGCGGCCTGAGGTTGAGGAGCAGCTTGTTGGGAAAATATAAATTCTTGCTGTTCGTTGGATTGCTTTGCATTTTCTATCGGTGCGCCATCACCAACGTACACATCTTTGGCCCTAATTTTCCAAGACGGGTTCTTCTTTTTAGTCGTGCTACTATTCTTATCGTTTTTACTAGAATCTTTGGAAGACTTCTTTTTCCCTAACTGTGTCCCGGTAGGCCTCCATACAGGCTGTTGAATCGCTGCACCGTCTGTATCCCTACAGACAAAGAACACAGTTGAACAGCGGGAGTGTATTTAAGATGGAATCGTACAATTGTACAGAATTCAATAACCAACCCAAGAGGAATTCTTTGCATGTATTTCCGCGAGGGACTCCAATTGTGGATTCCTGCTTTGTGCAGTCTTTCTCTTATAGTGTCAACGGAGCAATTGAGTCCCAAAGCAGGGAGGACAGCTTTAGCAGCTGTTATCGGCGTTTGCGTAGCCAGCCTTATGATCGCCTCGTCCTGTTCGCTGGTCGTGGCACGTTTACGTCCACATCTTTCTCTTGTCTCTACCGTACCTTCTTTATCGAACCTGTTCAACCACCTTTTTACTGTACGTTGCTGGACAAATTAGAGATAATGAAATTATAGATGAGTTGGAAACCACCATAATTATATACAAACAAGTAAATTGATAGCGTGCAGTTTTTAAAAATATACTTACCGAACAATTGACGGCAGCCGCAATTTCTCGCAGGCCCAAACCAGCTTCGTACATTCCCACCATTCGATTTCTCAATTCCGGCGTTGTCTCGTGCACACCTCTGGTTTTTCCCATTTTGATTTATCCTTCGAACCGATTTGTCGAGAAAGTATACGGGTATGGTAGCAAAAGAGGTTTAAGAAAAATTTTAAATTTAACGCGAAAACTGACGTAAGAATAGAACAGACCACGTGACAATGGCAGTGCTCTATCAGAAAGTTTTTCAAAATTTTAATTACGTTCGTATAATCGTCTGTCGCGCGATCTTCGAATTACAACGATACGCCGGATCATCCTATTTGATGATCGTGGTCCTGCTGCGTACGCTTTTGGAAAAATATTCTCTCTTCCTTGCCTTCGACATCGTACCGTGTTCGAAATGTTTGGACGGGTCGAAACCTTAGCGTCGAACGGATTGCAATTGCGTTGTTTACCAAACTCGATTTCGCACGTAGAATTCACCGGGGCAACGTTCACCCGTTGAAAATTGCTCGGTCCACGTCGCGGTGCATGGACGGGAGCCTGTGTTTTCACCGTCGATACACCTTATACGTCTCGTTTTCGACGAAATGCACTCGCTCGAAGAAAACACTGCAGTCAATACAACTTCGGCTGTACAGTCCGTCGAGATTCTTTTGTCCTCGCTTTGTTCCCCGTAAACTTTTAATTTCCATCCGAACATCTTCCCGGGCATGCTTCACCGCCGCCGGGAAACATGCTAATCGACGGGACGTGGAATCGCAAAAGATCGCTACCTAAGACACGGAACGTCTTCGATTCGGAAAACGGCGTGAGAATGCACCAGCATCGTCAATTTTTGTTCGGCGGACTGTACTGTGTCGTCGACCGTACAGTCCCTCGAAATTGCTTCATCCTCGTGGAATCTATCGATTCCGTCTCATTTCAAAGATCCGCGAGTCCGGTGAACGCAAAATGAAACGCAATCCCCGTGAATTTCTGCATTCGTTCGCCGACGAACGACACAGACGCTCGTCTATCGTCAATAGAAAATCAGCTGACTGTACCACCGAGCAGCGGGAAACGTACAGCGAGAAGGTTATGTCAAACGAGAAACATTTCGCGCGACGATACGTTTCGACGATGCATCGAACAACGTCGCGGAAATTTCATGGAAGGAATAACGCTCGTACACGTGCCGGTCATACCGACGCACCGGTGTTTCGCGTATCGACTACAATTTTTCTAGTATCGGGTTTGACGTTGGTCAATAATTTTGACGGGCGACTGTACTCGACGCGTGTTATTCAGGGTTAGCTCTCGGGTATGTTCGCCCACCTTCGCCCGGAATTATATTGACCCACTAATTCGCTTCCCTCGTGCGTACATCTCGCTCGAAACTTCGTAGACAAGTTTTCGGTGCATTGACACGAGCTTCAAATGTTTTCGTCAATTTTTCCAAACGATCTTTTACTGGACTAGCGAACGCATGCGAGCTGCTTTGAATTTTGTTGCGTTCCCGTGACTTTTGCTTTGTTTAACAACCAGCCACGAACAGGTCTCGTCCGATCGCGATTTGTAAACGTTAAATTTAATAGGACAAAATTCAAATCGTACGGTTATGCGGGAGATAGGACAGATTGCATAGGGTCGACGGATCGTAAACTGGTAACATCCGCCAATCAACCTGCGTTTATGCTTACTACACCCTGGCCTAGAATCCAAAGATTCGATCACCCTACGATAGACTACTTTAAAGGTTTATTAATTATTGTTTCGACGATCGTTAACTAACGATCGAATGGATTCGATACTCTGTACCGACGGAGGCTATCATAACCTGCATTTTATTTCGACCGTACATTCGAGTATTACATTTTTGGATTGAGTCTTTTTGGATCGATTAAAAAGTGTTGCCAAGGAAATTTGTTGCTTCTGATCGCGATATTTGTTAAATCTTCCCCTTTGATTTGCTCGAGTCGCGCCCTCGATCCGAATTGCGTCGCTGAGTATTCTACCCAGGACTGGCTTTAGCCACAGGCAAAATAGACATCGGTTCAGGGCGCGAAGAGCTATTTGTGCTTCTTATCGAAGCGCCCCCTAGCGTCAGACAACCCGATACTCGCATACGAGCGAATAACAATTGCTTTTTACACCCCATTGTTCAGAAATCTACCCAAACGTATATGCATAATTAATGTCGTTGCGATCGACGTTATTTGGCGGGAAAAATGCTCTTGAGCCGGTACTGGTTCTACCCCGAGTGGAGCCGACCCGAGCCGAATCGAACCGTACCGTACTACTTGAAGCGAGAGATTCCCGGGCAGAAAGAACTCGTGGTCGGGAATCGTTGCTGCATCCAGCATCCCACCGATCGAAAATCGATCGGTTGCTCGACTCAACGACAACCGACGAAATCGAACGCGAATCATGGGGTTCTTGGTCCTCGTACCCTTGCTGATTCTCTGCTTGATCCAACCGCCGGTCGTTCGTTGCGGGGTACGTAACATTGCCAGGAGAATTCTTAAAAAATCGTACGGGAAAATTGATATTTTTATAGACACGGCCGAGTTTCGTTTCCGACGAGATGATAGCAGCCACGGCGAACGTCGTGAACGCTTGTCAAACGCAGACAGGAGTGGCGACAAGTATGAAAGACAGAAACGTGACGAAGTTGTAATAGCAATGGAAATAATTTTTTGCAACTACTTTTACTATTTTCCACGTCTGTTTGGGTACGGTTGGGACTTTATATTATTATTCGTGCGTAATGATATAATGTGTTTGTTGTTTTTGCAGAGGATATAGAGGCTGTGAGGAACAGCGTGTGGCCTGAATCGCGGGAGTTGAAGGTAACTGTCCTGCTGTATTTACCGACCCGCGTTTTTTTTTCAAACGAGACAAACGTATGCTTATTGTCGACGCAGTGTTACATGTACTGTCTGTGGGAGCAATTCGGTCTAGTCGACGACAAGAGGGAGCTCAACTTGGACGGCATGCTCTCGTTTGTCCGAAGAATACGAGCCTACAGGTCGGGAGAACTGCACTTCATCCCCGTGTGCCACGGATACAGCACAAACATGGGTATCTATTACATATTTTTTATTATTTCTCCTTTTATTCCGTCGATCGATCTGGCATCGTCGAAATTTCCGTGTTTTTCGTACCCTTCTTTCCGTACAAGTGGGAACGATTTCATTTCGCAAGATTTTTTTCGATTGCACGCGATCGATGGAGTCGAGTATGGTCCGGCGTCAATTAATTCACAACCATCGTTTCTTTAGCGAAAGACGACAACTGCGAGTACGCGTACACGTTCAACAAATGTTACGCGGAATTGTCGCCGCAAGTGAGTTATTTTCTTTTTAATAACAATACATTTTTCTCGACTATACATATACAGGATCTTCGGCTACCTGGGAAAAATTTTAATGGGAGATTCTAGAGGCGAAAATAAGACGAAAGTCAAGAATACTAATTTGTTGATGGAGGCTTTGTTAAAAAGTTATTAACGTTTAAAGTTCCGCCCGTTTTTAATTTTTTTTTCGAAAATGCGCAGGATTTTGGGGGTATGTCTATTCACCAAAAATGCTTATAATTTACCCGTGAAACTAAATATAATTTTTTTAGATCAATTTGAAAATTTTTTTTTCGCCGAAACTTTCATCATCTATCCGAATTTTTTTCTCAAAAGTGGATAGGAATTCGGGGGTATGTCTATTCACCAAAAATGATTGTAATTGATCTCCGCAACAGAAAATAATTTTTTTAGAACGATTTAAAATTTTTTAATTTTGTCAAAGTATTTCATCTTTTCGAATTTTTTTCTCGCAAATGTGTAGGATTTCGAGGGTATGTCTATTGACCAATGATGCTTGTAATTGACCCCCGCAACCGGAAATAATTTTTTTAAAACGATTTGAAATTTTTTAATTTCGTCGAAAAATTGTACACCTTCTCGAATTTTTTTCTCGAAAGTGGGTAGGATTTCGGGATTATGTCTATTGACCAAAAATGATTGTAATTGACCCCCGCAACCAAAAATAATTTTTTCAGAATGAATTGAAATTTTTTAATAACTTCTTAACGAAGCCTCACTCAAAAAATTAATATTCTTGATTTTCGTCTTATTTTTACCTCCAAAATCTCCCTTCAAAATTGTTCCCAGGGGTGACCGAACACCCTGTATAAACTACACTACAGAGACACCGAGACTTCGAGTTACTAAGTCTATACATGACAACCTATCTTTCTAAACGGTGTTTAACGAGCAATTTTGTTTTCTTTCCAGACGTATTACTTGTTCTAACGGACAGAGCGCGAGGGAGAAAGGAAACGAGACCAAAGAAAAACGACGCGTCGCCAAACGACCTGGAACCTGCATCGTGTGATTTTTCACTTTACCATGTAATGGAACCGTACCGGTTTCGATGTAAACGACCCTTCCTACGAGATGTCAATAAAATAAAACGTCTAAATCATTCGACGCTCAAGTTATTGCCAATCTTATCAGGCTAGTTCCTCAAAAGACTCGTCTCGTACGATTCCAAGCGTTATTGTAACCCGGATAAAGGGTAAAAGACAGGGGCGACTCGACGGTTGAAAAATTGGAAGATTTGTTTGTCCGAGTTTCGAGCTGATCGCAACTTCCGACGGCCGAGGGCCTCCAATTGTCAATTAAGGTCGTGTCCGTGCGCGAGATCGCGTTCGAAATAGATTAAGCGCGTTTAACAGCCGAAGGTAGAACGAAGTGATTACGTTATTCACACCTCCATGTCGATCGTGTCGAGGAGACACCAGTTTCGTTCAGGGTTGATAACTTTTACAAGTTGCTTCCGTTTGTTCTCGAATTTAACTTGAAATCATTCTCCGCGAAAGACAGTCGAATTGTTTCTTTGTTTTTCTTAGGATAAACGATACGCAGGCTTCTAGAGCGCCACCTGATGTCAGGCACATCCTCTTATCTTTTGTCACGATTCTCTGTCCCTTCGTTGCAAATTAAACTATAATAAAACGGTTATAACAGATTCGAGATTCTTTATATGGTATACACAGTCTTTTTACGCAAATACCCCACTGTACGATATCAAACTCTCGGTCCTGACTTACGTCGTTGCGTAAACGATTCACCACCAGCAATTAAAAAAAAAAAAAACAAACGTCTCACCCTCCCAAGCTACAGTCCCCTTGTAATTTAAACGCGCCTGAGACGAAGGACGATACCGTAATTACGGACGAAGTTTCGTGCCAAATCCAAACAGTTGCATTACAGGTAAACGAGTCGTTTATAGCAATTACGTTTTTTCGTGGAACTTGGGTTGCACGCACGGATGTTAATTGACTGTTGCGATTACACTGTAGCCTTTTGATGGGTACTCTTTGCTCGTCCTTCTAATTACTCTCTGGTCGCAATCTTCGCTATAAGGTCGTTGTATTTATATCGAACGTCGATCGCCCTTTGACAAACATTTGCGCGATAAAGGAATGTGACGCAAATAGAGAACCTTTAAGGGGCCTTTCTACTTTGTGGGATTAAAAAAATCGATTTTTTTTTGCGTTTCCTTTTATTCTAAATAAGATTGGGCTGCCCCCCTTTTTTCACTGCTTCCTAGCCTCTCCTTGGATTATCGTCTTTTGTCTCACCACGTGTTGTATTACTGTATTTTATTTTATAAATAAATCTTGCATTTTGTCTTTTACTCAATCCCTCAACGCTCATATTTTTCGGGTTAACTAAGAATGATCAATTTTTTTTATTGGATTTGCTTCCAAGTTGAATAAAAATGCGGTTCTTGTTAATTGCAATGTTGCATCCGACGTATAATTTGAAGAAAAAGATATATTGTCATCCCTTAAAGTATTAGATTAAAGAAATATCGTTTTTCAAAGCAGTCAGACTCGGGCATGCGCGTTGAGGGGTCAATCTGGGTGAAGAACGTTGTTTGAACCTACGAACCAACGAATCACAAAGAAACATGTACTTTTCGTGCCCTACAAGGTAGAATGGGCCCCTTAAACGTAGAAAAATGCTAACAATTAGAGCAATAAAATATAAATCTATCGTTTTTGCGTCAGGTCTATGGATTTTCTTTTTTTTTTTTTAAAGCGAGAATGCTATCCAAAAGGTTCGAAGACTACTGTATTATTTGCAATCGACTTGATCGAACCAGGATTGCACGTTTGGCGATCAAATCAAGTACGGGTTGCAATTAGCTGGAAATTCGAAAAACCTAGACGCTTGCAACCTACCAGTCGCATGTGTATTTGCCAACCGATAATTATTTACTCCGCGCGCGTATATATTCCCCCTATCGGAAGACGCGGCGCAGTCCGTTCGACGTTTTCGCGGGGAAAAAATCGAACTTATCGGGAAATGAAGGGGACAGTGTGTTTTTTTATTTGGACGTATTTCGTGGCGTCGGGGATCGCTTTTGTCGCCGGTATAGGCTCGGTACGTGCAACACCGTTGAAAGTTGTCCTGATTTATCCTAAAACGTTTTATCTTTTATGTTTCTTGTCGATGCCAGGCGGATCCTGACGATTTTCGAAAAATGACCGCCCCATCGAGGAAGAAATGTATCAAAGAGACCAAGACTACTATTCGTAAGCGACGAAATCTGTCGATTGATCCTGATTACAACTTTCGTACGTAACTGTGTATTCTTGCAGAGGCTATCGAAGATGCCGAGTACGGGGAATTCCCCGAAGACGATGAGAAATTAAAGTGCTACTTCAAATGCGTCCTGGGGAAATTTAACATAGTCGGTTACTTGTATAGTTCGGTCCACGATATAGCGAGGTCGTAAACTAAACTCTTGAGGGTTGGGACCGACTGCTGCTGCGGCACTTAGGGCTGTAGGTGACATCTCGCTTGAGGGTGCCTTTCTGAATGTCTTGTTGTGTCCGTAACTGCACTGCTTTTTTCATTTTCTAAATGCATATATTATAAGCAGTTAAATTAAGATATTAAAGATTTGAATAAGACCTTTACCTGTTACGATACCTCTAAAAATGGCGACAGTAGATAAAACATTTCTTCGTACGGCCCTGACTGTGGTCCAAGTTGTTTTGGGAGCTGAAACGTATAAAACTTTAACACCTACTCGAGTTTACGACCTCGCTATATTGTGGCCCCTACTATACTAGGAATGGGACACTCGAACTCTCGAAAACCCTTGAAACTCAAAGCTTTGTAACATTTTTGCGTTCTAATCGTTTGATCTGAAGTAGGTTCTCCTCGGAGTGAAATGTAAAAAATAAGAGTTCTGGGTTTCGAGAGTTTCGAGAATCTGAAAATCAGGTATCATAAAACCAATTCGTTTCCTACTCGACAGATGGATAACAGTGGCAAGATAAAATACAATATGTTGAAAAAGGTGATACCTGAACCTTACAAAGAAGTGGCCTTCGATAGCTGCGCCAATCCTAGTGAGTATCGCGGAATCGAGTCTCCTCCATCCTTAACTGAAACGAAAGACGAAAGAAATAACTATTTTTACATACTTTGACAAATTTGTTTCCGCTCTAAAATACCAAGAGAAAAAAGGATATTACCTGGGGAAAATTTTAATAGGGGATTCTAGAGCCCAAATTAAGACGAAAATAAAGAATATTATTTCTTGATTGAGGCTTCGTTAAAAAGTTATTAACAAATTGAATTAAAAAATTTCAAATCATTCTGAAAAAATTATTTTTGACTGTGGGGGTCAATTATAAGCATTTTTGGTGGATAAACATACCCCCGAAATCCTAACCATTTTCTAGAAAAAAATTCGAGAAGGTATGAAATTTTTCGACGAAAAAAAAAATTCGAATCGTTCTGGAAAAAATATTTTTAGTTACGGGGGTCAATTACAATAATTTTTGGTCAATAGACATACCCCCGAAATCCTAACCATTTTCGAGAAAAAAATTCGAGAAAGTGTGATATTCTTCGACAAAATTAAAAAATTTCAAATCATTTTGAAAAAATTATTTTCAGTTGCGGAGATCAATTGTAATCATTTTTGGTGAATAAACACACCCCCGAATTCCTATCCATTTTCGAGAAAAAAATTCGGATAGATGGTGAAAATTTCGGCGAAAAAAAAAATTTTCAAATCGACCTAAAAAAATTATCTTCGGTTGCAGGGGTCCATTATAATTATTTTTGGTGAATAGACATGTCCCCAAAATTCTACGTACTTTCGAGAAAAAAATTCTTTATCGAAAATATACTGTGTGGCCGGATATGTTTCTATAACTTTTTAACGAAGCCTCAATCAACAAAGTAGTATCCTTGATTTTCGTCTTATTTTGTCCTGAATGAAACAACTGAACACCCTGTATATATTTATACTGATTTTAGCTGGGAAAGATAACTGCAACAAAGCCTACAACTTTATGAAGTGCTTGTACTTCGCTAATCCCATGGTAAGTTGAATACATGCTCTTCAATAATTCGTAGGATTTAAGTTCTCGTCTCAAGCTGAAATTTTATAAATCTTCTTCGACGAAAGACGTTCCTCTTCTTGCCTTTCCTGCAGGTATTTATCGCCCCGTGAGCGTAGTAGTTCGTTTCTGGAAACTGTGCATAAAATGTGCAAATGTACAGACAGAAATGAACGGAAGGAAAGATTCGTCGCGGGTCGCAAAAGCAAACGACGAGATCTATAAAACGAGTCAACGTATAATTCACTGTAGAATCGAAAACATACAGTTGTGTAATAAAATGATGGTAACCTATGAAGGCGTATTCGTTAAAAATACATTTATCACACACGAATGAACACTTACGTTAAATCCTTTATGATATTTACAGGGCGAATATAATATTAATCTTCCACGATCGCTCAAGAGGAGTTTCGTGTTTTACGCGACCAAATAGTCGATCACTTCAGCATTTTCTTACAGTTTCGCTAATCCCTTGAACCTCGATCGAATAATTTACACGCTTTCAACGCGCAGAAACTTTAAGAAAATGCAAAGAGACAGGAATGAACTTTTTTAAACTATAGCAGACCTCCTCAGAACGATCGGCGCGTGTTCTCGAAAGTGCCGCGGCCACGGTAACCGAAAAATATCGATTACGTCTTGCGCGGCTTAGTTTTTCGTTTGTTAATGTTCATTATGTGTTCGACGATTATATCGTCTGCTCTTGGATCGATGGGAACTGCCTGTATGGGAGCTCTCGAGCTCGCGGCTGGCTTCGATCGTCTCTCGATCAACGTGTTCAGCCACGTCCACATTTTCTCGCGATTGAGGAACGCGAACGCCACGAGCATTATGAACGGCAACGCGACCACGGACGTTTGGTTCATGTCGCTCTGGTCCACCTTTCGTTCCGCGTTGAACATCAGCTTCACGTACTTGAAGGACGAGTTCGCCTCGAAGTAAACGGGCACGGTTCTGTACTTGTGCATCGCCCGCGACAACGTAGACTCCAGCTGTACGAAATACTTTTTACCGTCCGCCTGCAACGGCGGGAAATGCAGGAGAAATCCAGCGTTGTAATTGCTGCCGATCTTGCTCGGTTGCTGAGCCTCCAATTTCGCGGTATGAATCGGGGAATCGGGCGTGTCCTCTCTGCACAGTTTTATCTTTAGCGTGCGATAGTGCTCCGGTTGGCCGGACACAACGTACACGGAAATGTCGGTGCGAGATATCGGATGGAACGCGACCAATCGGAGATCGTGAATGTCCTTGCCGGTTTGCACAGGTACGAAGTCGGGGCTCGTGCGTTCTATGTGCGCGTTCACCTCGGCGTTCGGCTTCAGACGGAACGTGTAGGCGCACTGCAACGAAACATACCAACGTTAAAAAGAGAAACGATTTTAAAAGAATTTTATTAGGTGTACAAATGAATAATCCAATTTTTTCAAATATTCAGTGTTTATTTTAAAGGAAAGTAAATTGAATTGTTTAATCAAAGTATTTGCTGTTATTTTCTATAAGTTTAAGCCATGTAAGGTTAAGCCTGATGAAGTCGTCAAGCCATTTTCGGATCTCATCCACTGATTGGAAGTGCATATCGGATAGGGCGTGTTGCATCGATTGGAACAGGTGATAATCAGATGGAACAATGTCTGGTGAATACGCCGGGTGCTGCAAGACGTCCCAGCCAAGACTCATTATGGTGTCTTTTGTATGGGAAGCAATATGTGGCCTGGTGTTGTCATGCAACAATTTCAATGGACGTTTTCGTTCCAATGCTTGACTCAAGCAGATTAATTAATGTTGGTAGCAGTCCGCAGTAACTGTTTCACCCGATTCCAACAATTCATAATAAACCACACCCTTGATATCCCACCAAATGCAGAGGAGAACCTTCTTTCCAAAGCAATTGGGTTTTGCAATCGATGTTGATGCTTTGCCAGGATTTACCCATGACTTTCTACGTTTCAGATTGTCATAGAGTATCCACTTCACATCACCCGTAACGATTTTCCATAAGAAACACTTTCGACGCTGCTTATTGAGAAGAGAAAGACACGCTGCCACTTGTTGATTTTTGTTGGTTGCAGTGAGTTCATGCGGAACCCATTTTCCTTCTTTCTGGATCTTTCCCATCTCACGTAGGCGTTTGGAAATCGTTTGCTGGGTTATTCTTAACACTTTATCGACCAGTAGCCTATTAATTAGCTTTTTGATTGCCAATTTTTATCTACCAATAGCCTATTAATAGGTTTTTGGTTGTCGACGGTTTTCATCCAATGGGATTTACTGTTAAGTTTGTTAGTTATACAACTAAACCGGTCCTTACTGAAGGTCCTTTCGCTGAACTATCTTTTGTTTTAACTAGCTATATGTATGTCAACACCGTATGACCGCAAAAGAGCGGGAAAATCAATCGACTTTGAACTTGATTTTATAACTGCTCAAGATAATTTGGAGTATTCATTTGTACACTTAATAAAAAATTGCTTACCGTCGGCTGAAGTCCTCTGATTCGGAAGTTTCCGTTCTCCTCGGTAGTAGCCTCTTCTTGAAGGTTACTGCAGTCTCCTTGTCCCTGGACCTCGACCAACAATCCAGCCTCGGGCTTTCCGTTCAGCGACGTCACGGAACCGTATGCACTGAACGCGACTCTCTTACCGAACAAATTTACGGTAACAGTCGCTCCTTCGACGACTTTGATCATTTTCGAGGGAGGATCGAAACGATACTCCTTCATCATTGGTCTCAGATAATATTCTCCAGGGGACAGGGAGTTGAAGATCAGTTTGCCATCCTCGCCCGTCACGCTGTTTCTGCGGTAACTTTGCCCACCGGACAGCGAAAGGAGAACGCCTTGCAACGAGATGTTGTCGGCCTGATCGGAGACTTGCACGATAATCTCGGCCAACTTGTGAGCGGAGAACACTCCGTTGGAATCGGGTCCTACGATGACGAAACCTTCTTTCTCCGCGGCGACGCTGTAGTCTACTTTTCCATCCAGAGGTCCGATGCTGTATGCCCCATCCTTCTCAGTAACCGACGTATGTATCGGGGTATTTTTATCGTTTCCAAATATTTGCACGGTGACTCCCTCCAAGGGTGGATTGATCTTGCCAGAAATGATCTTCCCCAAATCACCGATGAACGTGGCTATATCGTTCTGACAATCGTTCACTCCCAACACTTTCAACGACGGAGGGCTGAACAAGAGAACGTTCGACAATGGTGTTATCGTGTAAATGTAATCGGTCTTCGCTTTGAACTCGAATTCGTATCTGTACACGTTTCCGTGCTGCACCGGTTTCAACGGTCCTAGAGTGACGACTTCGCCGCCATTTTCTATCGTCACTTTGACTCCGTCCAACGCGGAAGCACTCTCAATGTTCCCTTTGTGACTGTGCTCGGTCGAGTGCAATAAAATAGGAGAAAGACTGTTGGTATCCCAGGTATAGGACGATCGGTCGTACACGTGACAGCTTTTCGGCGTGAATGTGTATACACCTGGATTGGTGACGCAATGCTTCGTGCTACCTTTGTTCAAAGATAAAGTGATCTTCTTTGGATCGTTCACTTCGGAATATTCCACCGTTGTATCGTGAGAAAAGATAAAGGTAACGGAAAATCCGGTTTGCTCGAAGGGCGGCACCTCGGCACGCTCCGACGTTACGGAGATCCTGTAACTAGGATTTTCCCAGCAAAACACGTCGTTGTCGATCAACACCTCGTAATGGCCGGGCAACACGTCCGTGAACTGATAGTGGCCATCTGCGTGACGAAAAACGACTTCACAGACAAAAAAGAATAGCATCGAACGAATCGAACCGCGGTTATTACCGCGACAACAAGAACGCGTTAGAAATGTTGTCTTTTTATTTACAATTTACTTATATTACATTCGATCCATTTAAACGCATTTTTGTTATCGCGGAGTTTGCAAACGTACAGAGATAATGTTAGCTGGAACACACAGAATACGATGTGGAACCTTACCCTTAGATTGAATCGTCTTTATCGTGATCCCGTCGAGTACTTTCAATGTAACGGAAGCCTGACTGCAATCGGTATCCGGTAAACATTTTACCGTACCCGTTAACGTCGCCTTCAGTTGCAGGAAGTTGACGTTGAACACTGGTCGAGACGACACGTCGATGGTTTGTTGAAGCGGGAAGAATCTAAAAAATGATCAGCTGACGAGACCGAACAAACGGAGAAAATAATAGTATACTTACTGTAAGCCTTTAGCTCTTTCTTCCGCGCTTACAACTACGGTCAATTGGTATCTGTCGGGAGGGAGGTAGATGGAAAATTCCCCTGCCTTCGTATCGATTTCTTTGTTGAACGTGGCGGCTGTGTTCTGTACAGACACTTTACGATAATGAAGCGTCTCTTTCGCCGATAGGGTAACTCTTCCGGAAACTTTGTACGCCGACGGTGTGAGTATTGGAAGTTCCGGGGAACTGGGAGAGATTTTTACAGACTTTTCGTCGAACACCACATCATCTGCGTCGCAAAGAATTCACACGATTAAATGTTAATCTGCAATTGCAATCAAGAATCGGTCAAATATACGTACTGCTCTCAGCTTTCAGGGAATACTGTCCAGCCTTCATATTATCCAACACGTATCTTCCATTTGCGTCAGTCGTCGCGACTTCCTTTTGTGACAACAGAATTTTCGCACCCGGCAAAGGATCTCCATTGGTGGCGGTCAGAACTATACCGCTCACCGTGAAACCGGTTACTTTAAACCCTTGGCGCAGTACGACGCTGTTGTGGTTTACTTTGAACACCAACTCCGTGGGTTGAACGTCGAATTTGGTCTGAGCACCGGCATAGTAGGGCACGAGTTTATATTCGCCGGGCGACAAACTTGGAAACACGAATTTTCCACTTTTGTCCGACATGACGTGACAAAGGGGTTTCCTGGATTGAAGGTCCTTGCTTATAGACGTCGTTGCACAGTTCTTAGCCACGCCATTCTATACAGAAATAATATCCAATGACTACAAGCTACTATCATGGGCTGGATTAGACAATAAAGAACAAGTTCTTACTCCAAACAGAACGAAGGTTACACCGCTAACTGGTTCCTCTTCGCTAGTAACGCGACCACTGGCATCGTAACCGAAGATTACCAAGCTACCATCCGGAAGTTCCGTGTTGCCTTCCCGCACTGTTACTTTGACAGTATCTTTCTCCAACATCCATCTAAAACCAAAGAAAAAGGCATAAGCTGGTGTAATGAAGTTGTACATTTTGCAAGACTTACGTAGGGTGGGATGCTACGAGCGTGTATTGACCAGGCTGTATCGGCGTGAAATAAAATATTCCACCCTCCGCTGTAACCGTTGTTCCAACAGGAACTTGTTTGTTGTCCTCGTTATACAACGTGACCGTAACTCCTTTAGGTCCAAAGTCTGTCCCTAAACTAATGACCTAGAATACATTAAATTTCTTATGACAAACGTAGAATTATTTGGATAATTAGCAGTCTTAAGCAGTCTGATTTACCTTGCCTGTGATGCCAAAACCTTTGAAGGTAAAGTTGATGTCTTTGCCTTGGCTGCAGGCATCGGTTACTCCGTCCACGTTTAACACAACTTCCGTAGGTTCGAAGCTCCATCCTCTGGGTGGATCCACCTATTGCGGATGTCAAATTAGAATATATAGCCACAATTTGAAAATGTATTAGACAACTCGTTCGTATAATTGTTGTAATCGCAGTTACCTTCAATACGTATTCTCCCTTATCATACAGAGGAAGAAAGTAATATCCATTATTAGGAGCACATTCCGTGTTGTCCTTAAGGCTACCAGCTTTTGTATATCTGAATCGAGCAAAAGTTTAAGTCATTATTGACCGATTTATTTCGCGTACGTGAACGTGACTCGATAAGAATTTCGGGTGGCAGTGGTACTCACAAATTTATCTGAACTTTTGCAAAGTCGATATCGGCGTGACTCTGCAGGAATCCCCCGCAGCCTAAAATATCCTCCGCGTTGCAATACGATATTAATATGTACAAATGAACTAAACAGAAGCTGATTAATCGTTTCATGCTTGGACGTCTTGATAAATTTCTAAACATCGTTAGGTCCATGAAGTAACACAATGCCACCTTGCGACTTTGCGTTGCACGCAACTGCAGCGACGCCTAGCGTTACAAACACGAAATCATGAATCGAACATTTTGTGTCGACGATGTTCTGTAAAATTATTCTCTTTTTTAACACTTTACCGACCGGTAGCCTATTAAACGACTTTTTACCGACCGATAGCCGGTAAATCAGTTTTTTACCGCTCAACACTTTGCCGACCGGTAGCTTATTAATCGGTTCTCATAAAAATAAAAAATATCACTGGATTTAATTACCCTGTAATTGCAGAAAGAGAACAATATCGTAACCACTGTCGCAAAGTTTCATTTAACATTCTTATAAGTACAAGAAAAAGTAGATATATAATCTAGTAAAGTGTTAACAATGCACCGTATACGACACATACTACAGATTAAGTAGTATCGTTACAGACGAGGTATACCTAGTACTAGACGAGTACCTAGACCTTTTAATGTATTTTTTCGGGCAGTACCATTTTCGTGTCATTCGCAATGTTATCGACAGATTCAGAAATGAATTTTAATCCCTTCCATAGTAAACTTATATGTATTTATGCAAATATTACAGCTGTTTGTCTAACCACAGACGAGGTATATGAATAGACCTTTCACCTAATGTAATTTTTCGGCCGGAGTTTCAGGGGTCCCGGGACCCCATAACCATTTTCGTGTCACTCGCAACGTTATCAACAGATTTAGAAATTAACGCAAGAGGAAGTGAGACAGAAAATAAAATTACATAAATTTTATTATTTTTTAACGGAATGAAAGCTGTATGGTCCAGAATTGAGCATCGATCGATTAATTTCATTGGAATAACCAATCGATCGAGATTATTTAAAGATTTCAAAATTATTAAAATACGTAAGGATCTCATTGATAAATACACCGCAAATCCTCTATTTTTTAATTTAAATTTTAATATATTATTTATTTAAAAACTAACTCGGCAAAAACGTATTTGCGACTCGAAATCAGTGTTATCAGACTGCACACCAGGACGAACAAGGTATGTGGAACTATGAGAAGAACGCAGCCATTAGCTCATATTATTCCCTATGTAATTAATAATTGTATTAATTACATAGTAAATAATATGACCCAGGTCTCACCACGTGGAGGTTGCTGCGAGTGGAGACCCGAAGGGAGATAGATGGAATCAAAGTTCCATCGATCTCCCTTTTAGCTAAGCTTAGCTGGATTACTAAACTAGAGAGATAGAAGGAAGCAATGTTCCTTCGATCTTCTGGTTTAGTTGTACCAAGTAATTATTTCGTTTGAAAAGGGGTGAAGCTATATTGTGGGATACGCGACGCGATGCTGAACCGTGCGGCAGATCTTCGGATCGAATCGACACTGCCCTTGGTAGATTGATTCCTATTTCTAGCAATCGATCTATCATGGGTAAGCGACTAGATCTTTCGGACAAACTGGACGGCCGATCACATGTTTCGATCGATGAAACAGCGGTGATCGAAGCTAGGAACCAGAGAACGAGTCGAGTGAAGCTACTTGTTAACTAATTACTTGGCGATATTGGGAGACGCGTACAATAGGGACTTAAAATTAACGTCGAAGCTCGAGTCTGGTCAAGTTGAAACTAAAATTCGGACGATAGAAGGAAACAAAGTTCCTTGGATGTACCAAGCAATTATTTGGTTAAAAAGAGGGACGAAGTTAATTTGAGGGGCACGCGACGTGACGCGACGCGACGCTGAACCGTGCAGCGGATCCGAGGATCGAACCTACTGCCCTTGCTAACTAGATCTCTACAGGATAACGGACGGCTGCGACTCCGAATCTAAGGTCTCCATTGCTCCAACGCAACCCGCCGGGAGCCCGAAGGACCCGACTCAAGTTGTCTGACATAGAGAGAGTACCTCTGTTTCAGTGTCGACTTCCGCTGGAAGGTATGCGTTTCCGCAGAATACGGAAACTCCACACCTTCCAGCAGAGTACCATTTTCCCTGGATCGAGCTACCAATGGGAAGGCGGTTAGATCTTTCGGATCAGCTACACGGCCGATCACATGTTTCAATCGATGAAACAGCGGTGACCGAAGCTAGGAACGAGGGAACGAGCGAGAGACAAGCTACTTATCGAATAATTGCTTGGTAGGACGCGGAGATACGTATAATAAAGAAGGCTTCGACGTTAATTTTAATACTCGCGACGAAGCTTACGACTAATCAACTTGCAATTAAAGGTCCCTCGGCGGTTGTGGCGTTCTCCATCGATGTCCTTGCGATTAACCCAAATTTAAACTGAAATCAAAACTCATATGTATATTAGTGAGATATGGTAGGAAATTTAATGAACACTTTAAAATGATCTATCACCTAGCTAAAGGGAATTGAACAGAGTATATTAGCAAAATGTTACAAGAATTTAAGCCGAGAAGTAAAAATAAAAATCTTCTATTAAGCAGCGTCGAACAACGAACACGAACGAAAAGACGAGTCAGAGACATCGAAACAAATACGGTATATGCATCGACGCAATGTTATTCGTATCAAAACGAACACTCCTAATGATGAAAGAAACTTGGATCGAGACACCAAGTTGAATCAACACCAAACGATCAAACGAAATGGAAGAATCGAACAAAGTACCTCCGTAGAATATTACGAGAATTCGAGCAAGAACGTAAAAATATGAATTCGTGAATTTGTATAGAAACAAATATAGCGTATGATTGAAAACAATATTATATTATTATATCCTGCAATATTATACGTATCGAAGCAGACACGTAAATTCGCAAAACAATGTAAAAGTAGAAACGGAGAAAAGGAACATTCATAATAACCAAATAAAATCAGATAAATAAAGTTGAATACACATCAAACGAACAAATAAAAATAATAAAATATAAATAAGTGGAGTGGACTTACTACTTGTTGTCAGTACATAGGGTAGTTACCATAAGGGCCAGCTGTAAAGTAAGAAAATATTCATATTATAGCAACATCGGTTGGATAAACGAGGCAAAATCAGTTCATTTGAAGCAAAATTGGCATCAAATGATAGAATAGAAGAGGGGAGAGAATTTTTAAACAGTTCTTACCGTTGGTCATCACCGTCCGGCACTGGTCAGTAGTGGTCAGTAGTGGCAGGAACGCGAATCAGCACTGGTCAGTAGTGGTCAGTAGTGGTCAGCCATGGTCAGCTGTGGTCAGCGCTGGCCAGTAGTGGTCAGCAACGGCCAGCAGAGGTCAGCAGCGGTCCCCGGTTCTCCTCTGGCCATTTGTACACTCCCGAATTCGCGACGCGACTGAAGAAATCTTCGCAGTGACCCTGCTTATATGCCTAAGGTGATGAAAGGGTGGGGAGACCAATCAGAGCCAAGGTTGAAGATAACAGGTAAGACTGTCTCGTCTACAAAGAAACTATTTCGATTGGTCCCACCTCTTGACCATTTCTGGATCTTCCTCGCTGACCTTGATGTCCACCTCACTGTTGACCACCAGTGACCATAAGCTAGTCATTGTTGATCATCGACCCATTAAAACCATTACGAAGATTAAAGCCTTCTTACGAGGATTCCCTTACAATTTGATGCATGATCTTTTTAACATTTTGTTCCACTTTGGAAGAGTGTATCTCGTTAATTTTTCTCTTTTCGTACGTCAGTTCGAACAATTGCCATACCGAGCGAAAAATTCGGAGGTGATTTCAGCGTCCTCTTCTCACGGATGGCGGTCAGTTGAGAAATTATTCACTGAATTACTATCGATAGGCAAACAGCTGTAGTTTTGCGTAAATCCATGTGAGTTGACTATGAAAGGGATTAAAATTCATTTCTGAATCTGTTGGTAACGTTGCGAGTGACACGAAAATGGTAATGGGGTCCCGGGACCCCCAGAAACTCGGGCCGTAAAATTACATTAGGTGAAAGGTCTATTTGCTTGTAAATAGGTTTCTTCTTAATCATTGTAAAAATATTAATTTATTAAATTCCGAAAAATTTACATTACATCATTGTTACACTGCAAAAGATTGCATTTGATCGATGGTACCATTAGATTGCTGTTGTATTCAATCTGCATATAATGTTGAACGTATTTTACTGTTTTCCTGTATGTCCTATGCCAAATGCAATTTCCAGTTTTTGTCATACGTCTAAAAATATGAACATAAATAAGTTAATGTATTATGTCTTAATATCATTTTTATTTATCAATCGTAACCGAGTAAAACGATATCTATTCCTTGAAATTTATGTGTTATATTACTTAATATCCTCTATTCATATACCTCGTCTGTGGTCTAACAATACTAATTCAGTGAATAGTTTCTCAACTGACCGCTAAAATCACGTCCGAATTTACTTGCAGCAGCTGCAGTGAAAAATGGAATTACGTTTCGATTGTTATGGTTTATGGGTATTCTGTACGATAACGATCAGGTTTCTAGTTACCATAAGATGCTCTATTACAGGCTACAAGGAGAATCGCTAGGAAATAAGTGGACAAATAAATGCACATTTCCAACGACGTAATATAATTTATTCATAATCATATAAAAAAATTGTCCATTTACTTTCATAAATGGTTCAGTACACGGAAAATTTGCAACAATAATTTCGCGCCTCTTCTAAATCCATTTCGAATTGCCGATCATACCCTGCACAATTAACCAGACGACTAGCACATTGCTTCTCAGCAGGGAAGGAAAAATTGAAATTTTAATTCGTTAACCATTCGACGAGCCATCGAAGATTTCGGACAATGGGGTTTCCGCAGCGTGGCTACAGAACACCCTGCCCTTTCTTCTACACCTTCGGAATGTCTCGATATACTTTAATTGGCTAAAATAATTAAAACCGCAATAATCGTCATCTCGTTTACTTACGATAATAAAAATTAGATCTTTCTTCGATTAAAAACTAAGTATGTACACGTATCGAGTATAAAAGTTCTGAATGAATTCACCTGAGCCCGCGCCGCCGTGAAACGGAAGACGTTTCGTGCACGCTTATGGCAATATAACTCTAAACTGGCTGAAGAAGTTGTAATCACAGTTCCAACGAAACGCGGAAATAAATCACAAAAGGGACGATTCAGAGAAACGATTTCACGAAACTTTTTTAGTCAATAATCGGCTAAGCTAGCGTTACTAATATCCACTACCACTATTGTTCTCTAATATTTCCGTTACTATGGCATCTAACATCTAACACAAATAAATATCGTGTGCGTATTACGATTCGTCGTTCTCGATGAACATTAACGTATAAATCACATGTAAATTAAATCATCACCGAACACACGAGTCTAACGATAATAATAGTCGATAAACGCTATCAGTCTATTCTCGCAAAAATATCACTGCGACTGAAAGTACTTCGTCTATGTCGTCAGAGTTCAGAAGTCCCCACGCATCACCGATCGAGGATAAATTTTGTCTCTCGCGGTATTATTTTTAACATTTGTTCGTTTCTCGGCGCATCTATTCCTCGAAATGTTGCAACGAAAATGATTAGAAAAATACCCAGGCGTTTACGAGACAGAGAATTCGGTACAGGTTTCATAACCTCAAACGTGACGGATCGAATACACTTTCGGTGATGCGCAGAATGGGGCTAGGATTTTCGAATATTTTATAAGTACTCGAATACTATCAATACATTTGAGTATTCGAACATTACTATTCCAACGACTGAACACAACACGGATCTTTTAAAATAGTAGAGATTGACCCATTTGCGTCATTGGCGTGCAAGTCTTTTCTACGACTGAAAACAATGATTGCATAAAGAAGCTGCTTAGAGACGACAAATCTTTACAGTATCGTTGATAAAGTATCAGAAACGAAAATGAAGTTTATGATCCACACTGCACTATTTACTGAATATTTGAACAGTCAAAATTGTATTCGAATAGTATTCGACGAGCAGTCCCAAAATTTTGGCGCGAAATCGACTCTGACGAGCATGCGAGATTAGTAATTTCGACTCAACGGTATATCATCATTCTCTACGAAACTTAGAAGAAGTAACTCTAACCTCTAATATTACGAATGCGTACTTAGCGTCTTAGATCAACTAAACGGTTCTACACTACCGTGCTAGACTATATGTCATCTTTGGTATTACTAACGGGGGAAATGTTAGTTCCGCCGGCAGAACCGACGACAACTTCGCCTCTAGTTCGTCGCTTTAACTCTTCTCCTTTGGAAGTACGAATTACGTAGAAATAGGAACATTACGAGTAATATGCGTGCCGGACGTCGCCGTGGCGCGTATTCTCGGCACAAAAAATACGACGAGCCCGCGGCGACGATTAATGAAAAATTACATGAGGGGCGGGTCGTGTGTGTCCTGCGATACAGGTCTTGCAACGGAAACTTGTCGGCGATTCGAGAGAGAACGGTTACGTTACGTCGTCGACCACGAACGATCGCTTCTACGGAAGAAAAATATCGGTGCAGCAACTACCGTGCGATGGAAGAAATTTGCGAGTTCACAGCTGGGCCGTATTCATATGCTGACTAGGTCAACGTGGTTTCTAGTAGGAAGGGTCGGGTAGAAACTCTTAACACTTCAATGGCCGCATGGTCACCACTGATATTGTAAATCAAGAGGAATATAATTAGAAGGAATTATAAATGTAACCTCAACAAACGTAATAAGTTGAATGTACGATGAAATTGGTGACTGATACGGTAGATCACGCATGCGTGACAGTGGCCAACTGTCTGCTAGCTAGCAAAGTCACGTATGCGTGACAGCGGCCATCAAAGTGTTAACTTACTCCTCCATATCCCTTTGCTTATGTCAATCGGAACTACTACGATGATTCCAACCAACTGCTTGTAGTCGAGTGAGAGAAGTGGGGGAAGTCGCGAGTCTTTACCTAACCTCATCCTCAATGCAACATTTCCCAACCCAAAATAACGTAATGAACATTTGACATAAAATAAATAAAATTTGCCTGTTTTTAGTGCACACCAGTTTCGTATAGAATTTTTAACGCTATTTTGTTAGACTTATATTAGTGGAAAACGCTGCACACGGGTTTACATTGGATCGAAGCTGGTTTTGAAACGTTCAGCGCAGTAATCCATACTACTGCAAATGCGTCCAAGTCATAGCAGTCAACTATCGATCTCAAAACCTGCCAACGCATTTGTGATGATAAGGGCAAATTTTTTGTGGCTCGCTAGATGCACTGTTAGCATTGTTTTAGCTAAGTTCTTTGTATTCGACTACTAGTAGGTTCGATAAGCCTTGCTATTTGCTGTGTCTTTACATCCATTTTCGGAACGAGTTCAAAGAGAAACACCTACGAACAGGCCCATTAGATCTCTCAACTCGAATAAGTTTAAACGTTCGCGAAGGAGTTGCTTGCTCTGTGGGGGACAAAAGAATGAATCGCAGCGGAAGTACATATACATAGCCTGACAACTCAGAAAAGATCCCTGAGGCACCAAATCATTTGCTTAATTCTTTACGGTTAACATCATCACCGTTGTTACATTGCAATAGTGATCTCTTAATATATTCGAGACTACTTCCTCAGAGATCTTTTCTAAATTTGTCAGGCTATGTATATTTGATTCGAATGCTGTCCACGCGTCTTGAATCACGATAATGCGCGGCAAGACCAAATCGAAAGGATCTCGTTCTTTAGCATTCTTCCGCTCGCCTCCTGCCCCTTCGTCCCACAACGCGTCTAATAAGTTAGCTTGAATATCGGATACGCTGGGACTGCTTAGTAGTGCTAGTCAAGCTGCAAGATCGAAGGGAACGAGAAGCACGGTATTCGTAACACGTTATTATTTCTGCGCGTCGAACGAAGAACACGAGAACAATGCCCAGAAAATATGTAACATTCTTAATTTTGATTCTGTTACCGTGTAGACAGGCAGAAAAATATATTGATACCCTTGTAAAAGGATTAGGTAGAAATTCGGCTACGATGCGCAACGCTGGTTCCAGATACGAGATCATCGTATGATATCAGAGTGTTCGAGAAAATACTGCGCATTCTACTAGCTTTGTTGGCCACTATGATACTTGGGAAAGCCAATATTAGGTACATATCTGGCATTTTTTTTATTAGGAAAACTTCCCATTTTCAGGGAAGATGTACTTCAAAAATCTGACACCTAGTGCTATAATAACGCATATATAATTCAACGTAAGATCAATGTCAGATATTGAGTTTTGCTTGTAAATAGTTAAGGTCGTGGATTATTATACTTTAAATTATGGTTTACTATCGATAACTCGAGGCCTTGAAATGCGCAATGTTCTCGGACACTCTGAATATAGCACGTACAGAGAAGGAAAGCGTGTACATCGCTACGTCGTTCCCGTAGGTTCGACTGTCGCGGTCGAATCTGAACCGCGACGACTTACATCCCCATTTCATGGCAACTGGTGGTCGGTCAACACCGGCTCCAAGCAGGTCTGCTTCAAAGTCGCAGACTGATCCTCGAGGCTTCGTTTCAAGCCCTCGATGGTTTGCATCAGCATCTGTCTCCGCAATTGCGACAGCTGGTGCTGGAAAATCTGCGAATCCTGAGTGTTCGCGTTCGCTTCGGCGGCCAGTCGGTCTCGACGAAGCTGAGCCACCTTCTCCTTCAGAGATCGTCTCGAGTCGTCTGTGTTCGCAAAAGAACAATATTCGAAAATTGCTAGCTTTTGCTAAAAAATCACTGTTAAAATACTGTCTACTCTACGTACGTATGTAAGATCGACTATCGATTATATCTTTCACGTGTTTACGTATTTACCAGTGTCGTCGGTAGCTGTATCCCCGTCAGAGTTCCTCAAGGTAACGTGCTCCCCCAACGTTTTCTGTATTCTTCCATAAGTTGCGCTCCCAGCGTACACTTTCCTTTTCACTGGCTCGCTTTGCGGACAGTAGGAAGAACTCTCTTTTATCGGTCCCATGTCGATCGACCTACAAGAACAAATACGTAAGTTCATCTGATTCAAAAAAGAGAGAGAGAGAGAGAGAGAGGGAGGAAGAGGCTAACCTGAAGGTCAGCAAAGGTGTCCTTCTCCTAACATCGCATCTTTCCTCGGAGTCCGACGAGCTCGACGTCACGCCTTCCTCCTTTGTTGATCTCGAGATGCGAAGGTCTTTTCTGCTACCGACAAGTGGATCTCTCGGTGGTAAAACTGGGCGAGATCTGGCCTGGAAAGAATTTTGAGTCTGCGCCATAGGGTCCTCCAAGTCTATAGATGGTCGGAGGATACCGTTGCAGTTCAGAGGCACTGCTCGCGTCCCGTTGCAGTAGTCGTTGCTATCCTGCTCGACGCCTATCGGACGAGAGCGTAGCAGGCTTCTGCAGGGCGAATGTTGAGCAGGTGGAGTCCTTCTAGCGGCGATCGGGGATGCGGCAGTCGAGTACTTGATGGGTGTTTCTGGCCTGTAGGATCGAACGAAACGTTATCGAGTCGACAATCTAGGGCTGGCTAGCTCACTCCGAGGTAGCTAGCCTGGCGAGCTCACTCTTATGCTAGTTAGCTAGCTAGCTCACTCCTTGCTACTTAGCTAGATAGCTCACTCCCTGCTAGATAGCTACCTACCTCACTCCTTCATAGCTAGCTTGCTAGCTCACTCCTATGCTAACTATCTAGCTAGCTCACTCAATGCTACTTAGCTAGATAGCTCACTCCATGCTAGCTATCTATCCAGCCTACTCCTTGCAGGCTAGCTAGCTCGCTCACTCCTATGCTAACTATCTAGCTAGCTCAGACTGTATACATTACTCTATAAAAACAATGCTTGCCTGCAACAGTTTTCCTTCGGAAGGAATCCACCCGGTGAGTTCCTTTCCATGAACAAGCGAATCGGTGAACAAGGTTGCGTGAACTGTCTCTTGGGACTGGTGTGCTCGAGGTCTCTGATGCTGCCGCTCTGCAATTCCGGCTGGGAGTTTCTGCTCTTGGAGAGGGCGAGCTCGATATTCAGCTCGGTGTTCTTGATGAGCTCGACGCGTTTGTTCGCCAAACCGTTGTGGAATTTCCGCGACGGCGACGGCATGATGGGCATGCTGTTCTGACTCTTCTGCATATTCACCAGGATGTTCTCCGCCTCGAGTATCAGCTCGCGATACTTTTTGTCCGCTTCTTTGTCCGCCTCGATCAGAGCAATTTCTGAGGCGAAGGTGGTCATGTAGGCATTGCCAGTTATCCGTCGCCTGACTATGTTGCCGTTCACGTAGCTCACCTACAAAATAGGGGGAAGATTCAGTATTGATCCATGGATTGAAAAGACTAGTGGAAGTCCTTCGTTTTGATGAGCTTACCGAATTGGATCGCCTTTTGACGATCTCGCTATCGACGACAGCGGTCGATTGAACTGTTGATCGATCGTCCATTAACCTCATCGGCGATAAATTCTTGTTGACATCGTGTTTTCTTCGACGCCGGCATATGGGCGTGCCCCCGACGCTTCTGCTACCTTGATTAAAGCCAGAGTTCTTCAGCAGCATTCTTTCCACCAACACGCAATTCAGATTTCCCGTTTCGTCGTTGCACCTCTCCGACGTCGACTTACGACGCTGGGAGATCTTCTTCTTTCGTTTCTCGCTCTGCTGTTTCTCGTCCGGCTTCTTGTGTCGGGTGCTCTGCCTCTTAGCGCTGCCGCTTTTAGCGCTGGGCGTTCTGTAAACAGACACGAACAAGGGTCGAAACATTTATGGACGCTGCTTAAAATAGTATTTAAAATTAGTTTATTTCTTTTAAAGACACGCACGTTATCTAATTTTATTTAATCTTCTTCCGCAAATCTGTTTTTTCGTACATTTGGGTACACGGGGATTCTGCTCACTTTTTTTATTCATCTTTCGAGGATACACACACAAAATTTTGATTACAAAATAACGAAAATTGTAGAAGTTATTTGGTAATAATTTCAAAAGATAGGTCCAGATGTCTGACATGATATCTAATGTTCTAATTGGCACTGTTAGGTCCGAATGTTTTTTTGTACGAGACGACGTTTCTTTGGGTCCCTAGACACGAGCCCGGCGATCATTCTCTGAAAGCAACATCAATCTTCGTCGAGTTACCTCTGAAGCATCGTCGCGTCCTCCTTGATCCTGCGTTTTACCAGGGATTCGCGCAGCTTGCTGCTACGACGCGCCAGTTCGCCGGTGAACGCGAAGTAGGTGCAATGGCCGGTGTTGGGGAACCGTCCCGAGCAGTCCAGGTTGTCGAGATCGAGGAACGAGCCGTTGTCGATGTAGTCGAACTCGTCGTTCTCCAACGGATCGTTCTCGTCGACGACCTCCCGGGCCGGGTCCACGTCGGACAACGAGTCTATGTAATCCTCGCAGTCGGTCGGGTCGCTGTCGGACAGAATGTCCGTCTCTTTTTCGTACACGTAGCTCTCGTCGAACTTGCCCATCATCTCGTTCAGAGTGATGTCGTCCTCGGATGATCGGACGCTTCTGGTCACCGACGACGCGGACGAACCGTTGCAGTTCCCGTTTCCGTTCTCGTTCCCGTTTTCGTTGCTTCTGCTGCTGGCGCTGGTGCTGGTGCTGTTCCCGCTGCTGGTGTTGCTGGCACTGCTGCTGCTACTGCTGCTGCTGCTGCTGCTGCGTCGTTGCACGGACAGCGCCATCTTCGGTCGAATCTCCAGACCCGAGGCGATCCTCCAATTCTGGTTCACTCTGTGCGAAAAAACTTTGTTAAAGTGGCCGTCCAGGCAATGCTTTACTGTGATAGTTTCATTGGTAATCGAACAATAATGGTAACGTGTGCGATGAGTGTACGGTGATCCCACAAATCTGATGAACAGCCGATTGGACCTGGTATGGTTGCTCGGCGACCAGCGGGAAGGATGCACCGGTTTTAATTTGATAATGAGATTTTAATGTAATTTTTCACTAGTTTTAATTTTGTCTTGATATTCCTGATGTTATGACAGTACACTTCCTTCTGACGGGTATGGTAAGACCCCGGTTAACACTTAAGATACTTGATACTTAGAAGGGAACACACCGTGTCAGTTGCTGATTTTGATAATATCTGACACACTTGGAGTAAACAAAAATATTTTTATATTCTGTTATCGTCCATGTTGTGAAGGGCCCTCAACATGAAGTCGGCCCTCAAAGTAGGGCCAGACGTATGTAAATGGATGAATTTTGTATTTTTTATGACGAATTGAAAAAGATACATTCATTATTAAATAACGATAAATAAATCTTTAAGAATGGAATAAAATAATGGAATCAAGTAACCCAAAAGAAGAGAAAATATATGCAATAATAGTAAGAATAATAATAATACAATGGCCTCGAATGAAAGAACGAACGAATCAACGGCGTTCACCGACAGAACGCAAAACTCGCGTTTCCCTCGAACGATTTCGACGGTTCCCGTAATTAAAACTTTCCTCGCAGCGGGAAGATTCGATCGCCCACCGGAAAATTCGCTCGCTTCGACGGAGTTTGCGCGTCGATCGGAAAATGTTAACGGAAAAGCGTGAACGTTTGTTTCGACGAACTTGTGGAGCAGCGAAACCGTCGAGAACTTTTCTAGCGGTGCACTCTCGACGGGTCAGAGTTCATTCGTAGCGGAGAAAAATAATTGATCTCGGTGAAAGCGAGGTGTGGTCACATAGTGGTCTCTACAGTAATAGCTCGTTTGAAGCTTTCTTTTTGATACCATTATAAACTAAGCAACGAAAGAAACATTTTGTATCCTTGAATTTGACTCGTTACAAGTGAATTCTAGACCACTATGTGGTCACTAGTGGTCTCTACAGTAATAGCTTGTTTGAAGCTCTCTCTTTGATACCATTATAAACTAAGCAAATGAACTTTATGGTTTGGTTAACTAGACCCTTGATTATTCTATTATTCGCCATAGACAACATTCTGAAGCTGAAATTCGCGAGTTTACTGCATCGCAAAAGGGAAAACAACGATCGAGAAAATGGTACTGACGGGCTTCTGCCAGCGCTGAGGCTTTCTTGCTTGAATTCCTTCCTAGCGCGTCCTTCACGAGCACTGTTCACGTTGACGTCGCTGGCGCTTCCGGAGGATTCCGTGAGCTTGAGGCCCGAGCTGCTGCTGGTGTCGTCCAGGTTGAATCTCGACTTGAAGCCCGCGGTGCTGGATCCTGACGAGTTGGCGGACAGCCAAGGATTCGTTCGGATGCGGGAACGTTCCCTGGGCGACTGCACCGAGGGTGAAACCAATGGCGGCGGTATCGAAGAGGGCACGGCCAGGTTGCTCCTCGAGGAGTCGGCGGAAAACGACTCGGTCCGTCGATGGTACCTGTCCTGTTGCGTTTGCGCTTGCGAGTGCACCCGCTGCGACTGCTCCTTCGGTCCTTGACCTCCCAGACGTTCGTTGACCTGTTCGAACGACAAAGAGGATCGTCACAGGCGCTCCAAACGATCTTACACTTTTGGATACAAATTCGTTAAGTGTCGTTTGCTTAATCTAATTAATACAGTCTTTCGGGGTCAGCTCATTAGCTTATTAGCTACTACTAGCCCCATAAGTTTATCTTACTTTACATAAACGCTTCAATCAGGACTTTCCAAGTATTTTACAGTAAAGCACAGACTGAGAGAGGCAATATACAGCTTGATACCATTTCACATACTGTTAATATTTTTATACATTAAAGTAGAAGCGTTTAATAACAAAGATAATAATAAAGATGCTTCATCCTATGGGATGACCTAATGTCTGAACTATCCAAGGGTTGATTAATGATAGTGTCGGTTGGTCGAGTTTAGGAATAATTCTGCGTGCCTTGCTCGGGGTGCAGTTCCTGACGTCCCTCGGTTGTTCGTTGTTCCTGGTCATGTTCGCGAGGTTGGCGGCTGCCTCGACGTTCCCATGACCAGCGAGTAGGGCGTTGGCGGCCGGTAGATCGGCGGCGTCGACCGGCCTCTTCGGTCTCCCGTTGCTCTGAAAATAGTGAGTCCCGGTCCTGATGTTTATGTAATACTCCGGTGGAAAGCTCGTTCCGGGCGAGGTGCCGTCCGTCGAGTATCCGGTGCTGTAGGCGCTTTCCGGCGACGAGAGGTTCACGCTACCAGTGCCAGCCGACGTCCCGGAGGAGGCGGACGCCGTCGCGGTCGAGGACGCGATACCACCGTAGCTAACTTCCCCGTGCAACCGAATACCATCCACGTTCTTCGACGGCGAGTCCACCGGGTGTACCTGAAGAAGAAATCATTTTTAGAGTCCTCAGTCTTGAATTGGAGGAGGATTAAGAAGAACCCTTTAAGAGGTTCAAAAAATTAGTTATTCAATTGTACGCGATGTGCAAAATATTTTACGATAGCTTTACCAGCATTTTGGTAGTTCGAACTACAAGAATAGTTTTTAAAACACTGAAATCTGGGGAGACATTTTTGGGTATGCATTATATTTTCAGAAAAGAATTTTTTTCTCGAAAATGCGTAGGATTTTAGGGGTATGTGTATTGGCCAAGAATGATTGTAATTAACCCCTGCAAACAATAGTAATTTTTTGAAAACGATTTAGGAAATTTTTTTTGCCGAAAAATTTCAGCACATTCTCGAATTTTTTCCTCAAAAGTGGGTAGGATTTCGGGGGTATGTTTGTCGACCAAAAATGATTGCAATTGATCTCTGCACCCAATAATAATTTTTTTAAAGCGATTCAAGAAATTTTTTTTTGGCGAAAACTTTTAGCATCTACTCGAATTTTTTTCTCGAAAGTGAGTAGGATTTCGGGGGTATATGTATTCACCAAAAATGATTGCAATTGATCCCCGCAACTAAAAATAATTTTTTTATAACGATTCGAAAACTTTTAATTTTGCCGAAGAATTTCACATTTACTCGAATTTTTTTCTCAGAAGTGGAGAGGATTTCGGTACTATGTCTAATGACCGAAAATGTTTGTAATTGACCCCCGCAACTGAAAATAATTTTTCTAGAACAATTTGAAGTTTTTTAATTTTGTCGACAAATTTCACACCTTCACAAATTTTTTTCTCAAAAGTGGATAGGATTTCGGTACTATGTCTAATGACCGAAATAGATTGTAATTGACCCCTGCAACGAAAAATAATTTTTCCAGAACGATTTGAAATTTTCAGGTCGATATGGTAGTCGGATTGTACTATGAGAGTCCATATTGTGTAAGATCTACTCGTATACCTCGTCCATGTCTAAAGTCACTGTGCATTTTGCCTATCTCCGATGGTAATGGCGAACCGGAAACGAGCGACGCCACGGGGGGACCGGGGGCGTTTCGGCGGTGGATGTTCGATAGAGAGTTCGAGCCTCGTCGCGGAAGGGTAAGTAGCCGCGGAAGTGGGAGAGATAAAAGGTAGAAGAGGCCAGGCCAGTGTCGTCTAATTGGATAGCCGTGGATGGCCTGGTAGAGGAAAACGAGCCAGCTCGAGCGAAGAAAACTCGAGGAGGAAGACGCGGTCGGCTCTTTCAGCGGCTACGAGACAACGAAGCCAATTCTTCCGGAACCCGTACCCCGCTCTCTTCCCTCCCTTATTTACTTTACGTTCTCGTCTTCTTCGTGTGCCGCCACGAGGGGTGGAAAACCAACCCTGGAAAATGCCGACGCAACGCGGAACGAACGTTAGCGGAAACGTAACTGGCGCGTCTGGCGCGTTCTCAGCGAAAACGCCTAGTTCTCCAATTCTTCTACTTAGACAAGGAACTGCAACCCGTAACAAATTCAACGCCTCGTACATACTTTTTAAACTAATTATAAATCGAAAAATCGATGACTTAAACCCGCCCTAATTTCACCTAGAGTACATCGTATATCAATTTCACCAAGATCCCAAGCATCGAACGCATCGATTCGAAATTAGATAAACGACGCAGTAATGTTGCATTCCAATGCCCCTAAAATTCTCGACGTTGATCGTATAAAGCAATCAACTTGTCGTGAAACGCAACCCCCGGGGGTTCTCTCGGGATTGGACAGCAAAGATCGACGATAAAAATTTCAGTTCGTTAAGTACTCACTTGGTGCAAGGCGGGGGACCTGTTGGCACTGTGATTCCTCGGAGAGTTGCAGTTCGAATCGAATCCCTTCTCCCCTTTCTTCCTGTCCTTCTTCTTTTTCGATCGCACGATATGCGCCTCCATCCACGTGCGCAGTTTCGTCCCGAACATGTTGCACGCGATTCGGCCAACGTAGCGCCGCCACGTCGAAAATGCCCGGTCCGATCAAAGGCTTCTATATCTCTCTCTCTCTATCTCTGTCTTGTTCCGCCTGTCGGCAACTTTGATCACGATACGCGGCGATTGGCTATCGCGCGTGTCGCGAAAGTCGCTTACCGAGTATCGGGGGAACGCGATCGCACTTTGTTTCTCGTTTTAAACCGCGCGCGGCGGCTTTGCCGGTCCGCGGACGTCTGGTTGTCTCGCGCGAGTTCACCGGGTCTTCTACGTCGACGACGCGAGGCCGGCTAGCGTGGAAAACCGACGCGTCGCTTCGCTTCGCGCCATTCCTCGACGACGCGAGGCAACGGATCTGAAACAGAAAAAAGCAGAACACCAGGCTCGTTAATTCGCGTTATCGGCCCGTGTATCGCGGTTATCCGGGCCTTCGATCGACCACCGAGCACCCCCGGATCAGCGACGGCGTCGAGCGCCACGCGAGTACCGTGTGCTCGCGAGAAGCTGGCCGCTGAGTGGAACGCGGGCCTGATTGGCGCCCCGCGATCCCCACTCTTCCCACTCAGCCCGTCGCGCGGCGCTGTTGGCCGAAACTACGAAGGTGGGGATGGGCGGAGCGAACTTGGCGCCGTCCCACTTGGTAACTTCTCGCGGACGCACAGTAGATGCTTTAGCGCTATTGTAATAATTGTGTTTGAATAAAATGATATTAGAACGGATTTGAAAACCTTTGGACGTGCATTTCAATTAATATTCCTAATTTTAAGAACATTAACTACCCCCATAGCTACTTAATCCCATTGCTAGTTCCGATCGTGGTTGGAAAGGTAAAATCGCGACGACTCGCTCGACTGACTCACGCTCGCCTATCTTTGGAGACGATTTTTCCGCTTCTTCGGCCGTGACGCGCCGTCGGGAATCGTCCTGGAAAGTCGAGCAATTTCACGACGAAACGACGGTCGAAAATAGCCCGGGTCTGTTTCTCGGTAAACGCTTTACTTCGTCGCCGTTTCTGATTTTCAGCAGCGTACGATTCCTCGGTAGAATCTTTCCGAGAGCATCGCGGGAATGGAGGTGGGTGACGGAATCGACCCTCTCGCATCTCTGGAGACCGATTCGATTCCCGTCGGTCGCGGAAGTGTACGTCGACGCGTGGGCCGCGTTCGAGGGTGCGTCGTAACGAGCAGAGTGCCTCTAGAGAGCAAAACGGTAGGACTTAACCCCTTCGGTATGGAAGAGTCAGGGGTGGATCTACCATGGAACTAACGAAGCATCGGGGCTCCGGGGCTCTTTGCGCCAAAATTCTCGTATTTGTTGATCTCCTGATTCGAGAGCTGGGGATTCATTTTTAAACAGGGAACTTGGTAAACTATTTGTTAAATAAATACAACAGAGCTTCAACTTAAGATATATATTTAATTAAGGTATAATAGTTTTATAAGGCGAAAATGGTATTCTCAGTTTAACGGTTTTTTGCTAACTGAGCTTGAGGCTCAGAGGTGCTCAAGGGGTGCCATAAATGGTGTCCTCCTCAGGACTGTCCTTAGCAAGAGAGGGGGCACTGAATACAAATTTCCATTACAAATAATATAGAGATGCAAAGCTTATTCTCAACAGTGGTAAACTATGTGTAGTAGTTTAAGAAAATTGCATCGTTTCTTGTATTAAAATTTGACAGTGAAGAAATATACGACAGTCTCTCACGCTGGTTCCTATTATATCTTTATATGAAATTTTTACAAGATGTAGTTTAAGAATTTTGCTCATTTCAAAGTAAGGAATCCCCGATTCCTAATCAACTGCGACGACGGGATTCGTCTCTTTCCGTTGGCACGCCGGACTACCCCTTCCGGTGGAACGAAGCTGCGTTCCGTGGACATTCTTGGGCGCAGTTATGCGGGGATCGCTCAGGAGCGGTCGCATCGAAGCACGAGCCGAAGATTTTTCGAAGCGTCTGCGAGGATCCTCGAACAATTCCCCTGAATCGATCGATATTCTTTTCCAAATAATAACAGAGATATTGAATATTCAGATATTCAATAGACCCTGGGAAAAAATTTAATGGGGAATTCTAGAGGCCAAAATAAGACGAAAATCAGGAATACCAATTGTTGATGGAGGCTTCGTTAAAAAGTTATAGAAACATATCCGGCCACACGGTATATTTTCGGTAAAGAATTTTTTTCTCGAAAATGGATAGGATTTCGAAGATATGTGTATTCACCAAAAATGATTGTAATTGACCCATGCAAGCGAAGATAATTTTTTCAGGTCGATTAGAAAATTTCTTTTTCGCCGAAATTTTCACCACCTATGCGAATTTTTTTCTCGAAAGTGGATAGGAATTCGGGGGTATGTCTATTCACCAAAAATGATTGCAATTGATCTCTGCAAATGATAGTAATTTTTTCAAAACGATTTGAAATTTTTATTTTCGCCCAAAAATTTCAGCACTTATTCGATTTTTTTTCTCGAAAATGGATAGGATTTCGAAGATATGTGTATTCACCAAAAATGATTATAATTGACCCATGCAAGCGAAGATAATTTTTTTTTTGCCGAAATTTTCACTGCCTACGCGAATTTTTTTCTCGAAAGTGGATAGGAATTCGGGGGTATGTCTATTCACCAAAAATGATTGCAATTGATCTCTGCAAATGATAGTAATTTTTTCAAAACGATTTGAAATTTTTATTTTCGCCCAAAAATTTCAGCACTTATTCGATTTTTTTTCTCGAAAATGGATAGGATTTCGGGGGTATGTGTATTCACCAAAAATGATTGTAATTGACCCTTGCAAACGATAATAATTTTTTTAGAACGATTTGAAATTTTTGAATTTAATTGTTAATAACTTTTTAATGGAACCTCCATCAACAAATTGGTATTCTTGATTTTCGTCTTATTCTGGCCTCTAGAATCCCTCATTAAAATTTTTCCAAGGGTCGTCGAACACCCTGTATAGTTTTTTATAGCGAAACGTCACGGTTAAATCTAATATGGAGTAGTAAGGGCGAAGAAAAGCAGGAAATCCAAAAATCTAGGTCGCCTCCGGTCTGTTGCTTGCCGGATAAATGGTCGGGTACCGTATCCCTGGTCAACAATCGTTCTGGAGCACAAGAGAACCGATGCTTTTCCAGCGATAGAGCCGTCGTCGATCCCCGTATCTGTCGTCTCCTCTAAATCGAGAACGAGGAAAGGTAAAATGGACGGTATGGGGCCAAAACCACTCGGAACGAGCCCGGCTGCGAGTGTAACAAGTCTCGACGGGGACGGCGGTAGTAGGTTGGCACCTTTATTTCCGGGGACGGGCGGTCCCGCGGGACGTCCGGCGATGGAATCGACGCCATCCCCACCGACACAATTTCCGTCCGCTCTTTAATCCTCGGTGCACGTCCGTTTCAGACGTTGACAAGGAGCGTGGGTGGGCGGAAGGGTCGGGAACCCCTGTGTGTCACGCGTCGCGAGAAATCTTCGAGCGGAGGGCGACCCTTCGAAACTTGGTCAAACTTTACTCGTCGAACGACGAATAGAAATTCTTATAACGCTCGTAACAGAATTTTCCATGCGTTTGCCCGAATTTTCAAAGTCGGTGGGGGGCTGCACAATAGGGCACACCCGGAATTAATTTTAACGCGGCTTTTTTTCGCGGGTCGCAAGGCAGCCCGCTGGGGATTACGACGCCGACACGTTCGCGAAAACGCTGCCTATACACCTCTCTCCTCCGGTCTCTTGCCTCGACGAGATCTCGTTGGTCGCGCGAGAAACGGTCCTCTTCTAGAGCTCGCGGGAGTCGCAGCTGGAAGCGCGGATAGCCCGAAGCTCGGTGTGCAAATAGGGGAAAGACACGAGGGAGTTTCATATTTTAAGGAAAAGACTCTTCTCCGCGCCGCTTCCCGGGTTTGACGATGATGGAACGTATGTGAAGCACCAGGGTTTCTTCTTTTTTTTCAGTCTTTTTCCCCCCTCGAACGGAATTTCGAGGGACTCGACCCAAATCTATACTAGGCGTCGCCCCCTGGCGCGACGAGATACCAACCGAGATAAACAAGGAAACAATTATCGCGTCCATTTGTTAATTAAATAATAAGATTATGACTTATACAGAAGCGGAACTTTTTATGAAAAATGAACATATAGGAAAAATGCAAATTCGAAGAGAGTGGGGATCGAACCCACAACCCCGAGATTCGTAGTACAGCAGGTTACGCTCACGGCCACTACATCGCCATCTACTTTCTCTTTTCTATACTAATACAAGAGTATTAAGTCCGATGAAACTTCGAAATGAAATATCTAATTAAATATGACTAATTATATTCGGTCTGGGAGTTTCGTAACTTCTCTTTACAAGGTAAGGGTATTAAAAAAAATGAACTTTGGCTCGGCTTTCGAGCTTTTAAACCGCCCGTGGGGCGTTCATTTAGCTGCGGGAGCGTCGCGTAATCTGCCGGCCGGGGGTTGATAAATACTCGGGGGTTGAGATTCATAACCGTAAAAGTTCCGCTGTATCCGCAACGGCCGAAAAATATTCGCGGCTTCCGCGGTGCTCGCGACAAACGAAAAAAAGCCCTAGCAGCGATTACGCGCTCGACGTTAACGTTTCAGAAGAAAGGGCGGGCTCGAGATGAAGAGGGTCGCGCGGAAAGCGGATCCGAGGGGAGACCAGGCGAATTATCGTCACCACGGCGATAAAGCGGGCGACGGCGAAGAATGGCAGAGAAGATGGATCGCGAAGAGTTCTTAAACGGACCAAAATATTTTCCTCGCGCACTTCGTAAACGATGTCGCGCGAACCAAAAAAACGATTATAAAAATCATACGCGGAGCAAAACATCCGGATAATACTGGTTAACAGTAAAAAGTTAAAATAGTATTGTAAATAGTAATACTGTTATATACTGTTGTATAGTATTACTATTTTGTTAAATTATAATAGAGGGATTTTAGAGGCTAAAATAAGACGAAAATCAAGAATACCAATTTGTTGATGGAGGCTTTGTTAAAAAGTTATTAACATTTAAAGTTTCGCCCGTACTGAATTTTTTTCTCGAAAGTGCGTAGGATTTCGGGGGTATGTTTATTCACCAAAAATGATTGTAATTGACCCCCGCAATCGAAAATAATTTTTCCAGAACGATTTGAAATTTTTTAATTTTGTCGAAAATATCCAATCTTCCCCGAATTTTTTTCTGGAAAGTGGTTAGGATTTCGGGACTATGTCTAATGACCGAAAGTGACTGTAATTGACCCCTGCAACTAAAAATAATTTTTTTAGAACGATTTGAAATTTTTTAATTTTGTCGAAAAATTCCAATCTTCTCGAATTTTTTTCTGGAAAGTGGGTAGGAATTC